AGTCGGATAATAGTCTTAATACGTAAAGGGCTATAGTCGTATAGCAGTACTATAGTCGTATAGTAGTAAAGACTAAGACTAAGACTAAGACTAAGCGCCTTCGGGCTTAAGTATACTAGAGGCCCTTACGCACTAAGGTTATTATAACTAATAGTCCTAACGAAGGCGTTACGCCGACTTAACTAGATACGCGTATGTTATCCTATAAAGAATCCAAACGTAGGAAGCCTATAGCCGCTACTTAAGGTATACCTTACTAAAGAGTTTTTACCGAGTTAGGCCTAGCCGCTACTTAAGGTGTACCTTACTAAAGAGTTTTTACCGAGTTAGGCCTAGCCGCTACTTAAGGTATACCTTACTAAAGAGTTTTTACCGAGTTAGACCTATAGCAATACTACGAACCTATTAACCTACTTAGTCTATTAACCTACTTAGTAGGAGAGTCGCTATCGAGCCGCTACTTAAGGTATACCTTACTAAAGAGTTTTTACCGAGTTAGACCGTTAGCCGCATTATAGGTGTACCTTACTAAAGAGTTTTTACCTCCGCTAATCTATCTGAGACCTCTATAGTTTATACTAAGACTGCGATATTCTAATAAAACTATGCTCTTTCGGTTAAATGCGCAGTCGACGCCCGCTAAAGCTATAGTATATCTACTCGCTAGGAGCACCTACTCGCTAGGAGCACCTACTCGCTAGAAGAGTCGCCTTTATAACGTCTTACTCGGCAAAGCCTATTAGAGACCTTAAAAGAAGGACTAAACAAACTCTACCGATCGAGGAACCTTAACTATTAGATAAGCGGCTCTATCGGTAGTAAGCCGCAGAACTAGTAAGAAATAGTATTAATCGCTATAGAGCTACCTATATGCGACAAAGAGGTATCGATACTGTTACTATTAGAAGCCGATAGCTAGTATATTGCTAGGGGTATTAGTATGTTAGTATATTAGTATATTAGTATATATAGAAGAAGAAGAAGAAGTTAAACTAGGAAGCGTAGGTCTATATTAGCGCATCGTAGGTAAGGTTTGCCTCTACTAATAGGATTGCGCTATTTACGCTATAATAGTAAGGCAACAATAACGGCTATATATTATTGCACTTTTAACGCAATAGCCGCCGACTACTACTAGTTAAATGCCTAAGGCTAGAATTGCTAGTAGTTCTCGAAATTACTAGAGGCCTCCTTTAGTATTAGGCGCTCTAAATTCATATAGGAACTAAGTCTAAAGCGAAGCTAATAGTAGGGACCTCTACTCTAACTAAGACTCCGACTGCCGCTAGTTAGAGTAACGCTAGTTATTAAGCTATTATCGTACGCCCGCATCCCCGACGAGGTACGTACTCTAGTCTACTAGGCGTATACTCTAGTCTACCGCTACTACTTCGCTACTAGGTACGTACTCTAGTCTACCGCTACTACTTCGCCGCTAACCGCTAGTTAGAGCAACGCTAGTTATTAAGCTATTATCGTACGCCCGTATCCCCGACGAGGTACGTAATCTAGTCTACTACCGACGAGGTATATAATTTAGTCTACTACTACTACTTCGCTACTAGGCGCGCACTCTAGTCTATAGAGCTATTAGCTATTAAGCTATTATCGTACGCCTAGCCTAGCTAGCTATTAAGCTATTATCGTATGCCTAGCCTAGCTAGCTATTAAGTAATTATCGTACGCCTAGCTAAACTCTTCGACTTTATAAGCACCTCCGACGAGGTATATACTCTAGTCTACCGCTACTACTTCGCCGCTAACCGCCTAGTTAACGGGGCTATCGTTGTCGGCGGCAAGCGTACTTAGAAGATAAAGCTAGTACCTAAGAGATAAAGCTAGTAAGGAAGGCCTAGATAGTAGATATAGTAGGTTAGATTACTATAAACGAATATAAAAGCTATATTTATTTATTCCTTAGTCGCTACAACCGCTACCCTTATCTATATCTTAGTTACCGCCTATTGCATCGACTACTTTAACCTCTATATCGATAAGCTAAGTCTATCTATTAGTACGTTAGATAGTATCGACCTACTTAGAGTCGGTCTTATCGATAGTAGCACCCTATATATTGCTACGATTAGTCGTAGCCTTACGACTAGCCTTAGCAGCCTCTATATCCTCTACGACCGTATTCGTAATAGTAGAACGACCTTCGAAGTACTCCTTATTGCTTTAGTTAAATATAGCGACCTTCTCGCGGATCTAATCGCTACTAAGCTACTAGATATCGTCCGATATATACCTACCGTTAGACCCCGCAGTAGTCCGGGTTGGTTTGGTTTGGTTTGCCAAGCCGAAATTCTGGTTTGGTTTGGTTTAGTTTGCTAAGGAACCGGTGCACGGACCGGTTTGCCGGCCACGTGCCGGCTACAGACAAAAACCTAACCCAAAACACGTCTAAACAGCCCGAAATACAGATGCAATCGTATAGATAGGGCCCCCGGACCCGATCCGAGGTCGTCGCATGTCGTCGTATGTCGTCGCATATCGTCGCAGTTTAGTCGGATGTTCTCGGAAACCGGCTTAGACTAGCGGGGTAAAAAACCAAACCGGAACCAAACCGGAGGGGTACCGCTAAGAAACTAAACTATATACGTTCTATAGTTCGCAAACCGAACTACTGCGGGGTCTACCTACCGTTATTGCTATACGGAGCTATAAAGCCATCCGAGAATAGCTTCTCTACGCGGCTAAAGACGTTAATAGCTATATTCTTATAGGTATAGTAACTGCTTATCTTAATACTAGTAAAGGAGGTTATTATATTACGTAGTATACGAGCCGGCTCGCGGTTAAGTACGATCTTCTTAAAGGTTGCTAGCAGGTTATAAGTCGAGTTACTAATACGATTAATGTCTTCTAAGTACTCGTAGTTATAGATCTCGAGCTACTTATCCGCCGCTATTATATAACCTTTCTTCCTATTAGTAATAATGCTAGAAGATAGAATAGCTTCTTAGAGGATATTATTATAGCCTAGACTAAGCAGCTATCGCTTATATATTATTATCCGACTATAATTTCCCTACTTAGTACCGAGGAAACTAGGGATTAGATAGTCGACGGATCGACGGAGATAACTAATATCTACGTTATAGACCCCGAGGCATAGGGTAAGGAATATCTTAATCTCCTATATTATCCGAGCTATAGTAGTATACTAGGCATTAGGTGCCGGCTTACTAACGCGGTGCAGTAAGCTACGCTATACCTCGATAGATAGGAGCTTCTTATAGATATCCTATACTATCTCTAGGTATTGCTAAGCGGTTAGCCTAGATAGGGCCTCCTTAACTATATCTATACGGCTCTCCTTACTAGAGATTATAACGCGGCCCTGCTTAGACAACTACTTAATAGCCGTACCGATACTACGAGCCCGGAATATAGTCTTAAGAAGCCGAAGGATCTCGAAGAATTTTAGCTTCGTACTACTAACCTTATTCTCGCTATACTAGAATACAGTATCGCTCTTTGCTATCTAAGCGCTTAGAAGAGGCTTCCTATCGCTATTCTTATCCTAGTACGTACGTAGGATAGTAAATACACAGTTTATTATAGTATAGAACTAGGCTAGCGATATAAGGAGGCTGTTACGCTTGTCGTATAGGTCCTTATTCTCGATACTCTCGTTACGTACGCTATACCTACGTACGACGGTTATATTGTCGCTATTCTATATATATAGAGGTCCCTCTAGCCCGCTCGTAAAGTCCTTATCGCGGTCTAGGCCCTAGAACTTAAGCAGGATTTCGTCCTATATAGTATATATACCCTTAATAGTCGCCTCGTTGTTAAAGGAAACAGGCTACGAATATACCTCTATACGGGCCGGGTCTAACTTATCGATTACTAGCTATACTAGTCGCTTTAGATTACTACTGCTATTCTCGAAAATTGCCTTTACGGTCTCTAGAAACGTATACGCAATAGCCTTATTAATATAGAAGAGCGTAGTCTTAATACTAATATCGGAAACCTCCTCTCTATCCGGTCGTATTGCCTTATCTTTATAGATATTCTTAAAGATATTATTAGCGTTTAGCGGCTTATCGTAATAGATTATCTTCTTCTTTAGGCTACCCTTCGGAATGCGCTTATTAACGGCTATATACGAGGCATTTATAGCTACTATCTAGTTAGTATCTCTAGTAGCCTAGTCGGTACGGTTCTATATCCGATTAAAATTGTCGATAGTACTACTATACTACTTATCGGGGTAGTTATATAGCTTAGCAATTTGCGTCTCTATATAATTAGTATTCTTATCTATTAAGATCTAGATAGTCTAATATACTAGAGTAATGTTTAGGTTGTTTAAGACCTTAATCGTACGACGACTCGCACTATTGCTAACGAGGAATATTCTAAGGGCCTTTAGAAAGAATAATACCTTAATATAAGATATAGAATATAGGACTTAAGAGGTTAGTATCGTCGTACGCTTCTATATAATATTACGCTTATCCGCGAACTTAGTCTAGTACTAGTAATAATCGCGACGTACGTTAGGTAGCAGATCCTAGCCGAGCAACTAATACTGTATAGGAGCGACCTATTAGATAGTATCGTCTATATCTCTAAGGTCGATTTCGAAGATATAGAACTCCGGTTTATATATACTAAACAAATCCTTGCTAATTAGGCTCTTTAGCTTATTACGAATAATACGAGCACTAAATAGGCGATCTTCTAGAAAGGCATTAATAATAGCCTAGAGGTTCTTCTCGTATTGCTTAGAGCGCTTAGTAGTCTTGCGAGTTTTAGTAGACGTAGATGCTTTATCGCCCGGCTTATCGACTAGATACTTAACGAAGTAGGTTATACTAACCTTATTCTTTACTATAGTATCCTTTAGCTCCTTATAATACTTATCGAGAAGCCGCTTAAGCGCAACGTCTTTACTAGCACGGCGTGCTATTTCTAGGGCCTCTTTATCTTTATCTTTATCTTTATCTTTATCGAATATATTGTCTTTATCGTAAGTATCTAACTCCTCGTTACTACTAAGATCTTCGTCTTCTTTGCTAAGGTCTTTATCTATAGTCTCCGATTCTAACTGCTTATCTTCGAAGTTGCTAACCCTAGCTATATTCGCTAGTCGTACGATAGTCTCTAGTATATCGCTTAGGAAGCCGCTTATAGAGTGCATCGGTAATACTACTATCTATCTAGGAAGAGGTAGACCGACTAGAGCATACTAATAACCTAGCTAGCCTAGAAGTAGCGTATTATCTAAATCCTAGTCTATTAGATCGCCGCTATCGTCTTACTACTAAGGCGGAAGGATTAGATTGCCTTTATTGTCGTAATTACATACCGTTATCTTACTAGAAGGTTCTTTAGATATCTTAAAGAACTCGAGGCCTAGTAGCTATAGTAGTAGCTATAGTGCTAGCGGTCTGCGAGCGGTCTGCTAGCGGTCTGCTAGCGGTAGTAGCAGCGGTAGTGCTAGCAGTCTACTAGCTATAGTAGTAGCGGTAGTAGCAGCTATAGTAGTAGCTATAGTAGCAGCTATAGTGCTAGCGGTCTGCTAGCGGTAGTAGTAGCAGTAGTGCTAGCGGTCTGCTAGCGGTAGTAGTAGCGGTAGTACTAGCGGTCTACTAGCGGTAGTAGTAGCGGTAGTACTAGCGGTCTGCTAGCAGTAGTAGCAGCGGTAGTAGTAGCTATAGTAGCAGCTATAGTAGTAGCTATAGTAGTAGCGGTCTACTAGCGGTAGTAGTAGCGGTAGTACTAGCGGTCTGCTAGCGGTAGTAGTAGCGGTGCTAGCAGTAGTAGTAGCAGCAGTAGCAGTAGCGGTAGTAGCAGCTATAGTAGCAGTGCTAGTAGCGACTTTTAGGTATTTTAACCTTAGCTTTAGAGTCGCGTCTGCTATATAGTAGTAACTTAATAACTATACCTCGAATAGACTTATACTATATATAAAAGGTATTTAGAAATAGTCTACGAAGGACCTCGAAGTATCGAGTCGGCTATAGGAAGGTTATCGATTGCCCTCGAAGGCTATAGAGCGGTTAGTAGATATTAGATAGAATTTTCGCCTACCTAAATAATAATTACTAGCATTAGGAGAAGGATCTCTAAGTATTAGCTAGGCGATATAGTATATTATATGTTAAGGTATTTCTAGCAGTATAGCTAGCCGCCTAGTAGTCTAGATAGCTATAGTCGAGTCGGCTTAGTAGAATAGCGAAAACTTAACGCGCTAATATCGTATAGACTTTTTTAATAGGTAGAATAAAGCGCAATTAGTAGGGCTATAACCTCCGCTATTTAGAATGTCTTATATACGTTATAGTATTATATTAGTATTTAGTAGGCTAGTTTCGTACGGGTTTATATTAGGCTCGTAGGCGAAGAATTAGGTAGAGTGCTCGTAATTGGTTGTCGGTAAGTTCGGAAGCTAGCCCTAATTACTAATCTATTACGTACACTCGGTCGCAATATAATCCCTATTCACCTTCACGTAACTCAATTCTTCATGCCTACGAGCCTGAATGGAGGTAGACCCCATCCTCATCCCTAGCTTTTACCAAAACCTTCAAAATCCCTAAAACTCCTCCCTACCCGCCGCAATCGCTTCCTCTCCTTGCGCCTACAAGAAGAAAAGAAAAGTTTAGTCCGTCAACCCTCTACAAACCATGCATGCAGTTACTTAATAGTAAGCTTACTTACCTGCAAAAATCGATGAAAAGCCGGAACAAGGCTCCTCGAAAAGAACTCAATCCAAAGCCTAGTCTTCGCTCGCAAATACACATCTTCAGGCAAGAATTTCGGCGTGGATTCCGGGTAGGCATCCTCCAAAAATTCGCAAATGACGGTAGATTCGAAGAGGGGTTTGTCAGAGAATTGGAGGGTGGGCACGAGCCCGCGAGGGTTGAGGGAGAGGAGGGATTGCGATTTGTTCTAGGGTTTGACGTGTGTACAACAGAAGGAGGGAGGTTAATCGAACTACATGCGTGGAGGGTGGTGGACAAGGGGGATTGATGTATGTATCTTACTTCGATGTATTGGTATGGGATTTTCTTTTCTTCGAAAATGGACCAGACTCTTTGGACGAAAGGGCAGAACCAGCCTGAGTAGAGTTTCAAGGGTTCTTCTTTCTGGTGGGCGTCGACGATGGATTTTGCCGGGCCTGTGGCGACGGGGTGAAGGTCGGCGTCTGGATGGGAGGCCATTGTATGCTACTGTACTGTGTAATATTGAGAGACTGGCAGATTCTTGTCAATACATCAAGTAGTACTTGCAGTCCATTTATGATTAACTGTTACAGATCATCGTCACACTACGTAACAAGTCCTCCATGTGCCGTCTTCGGCGGGGTATCGAAACTCATCGCAAGCCAAAAACCTCCCGAGAGCTCAAGCTCTCAACCGGGTCTACTCCCGGGTATGCTATGCAAAACGCCGGAAACAATGCAAACACATGCCGCTTCTCTTCGATCTCTTCGGCCGTGATTCTCATTTCATGAGTAGTCTCCCTGTATGCGTGGCTTGCTGCCGTATTCACATCGTCGAACATGCTGGTTTTACAAACTCTTCTCCATAATCGCGAACGAGTTGTGCCTTCTCGTTCTCCTTTTGTCTCTTGCGTACTTCCATAGGGAAGTACTTTTCTAGGAAGTCCATGGTGTCGAAGTCGAGGTTGGTGCCATTGGCTTGCATGACCGTTGGCGCGTTGCACATGGGGCATTTCGGCTTGTTGGTATCTTGTAGTTGTATCACACATCGGATGCAGAAAACTGCTTTGCAGCATCCAAGGTTCACTGGACGCCATGCCATGCCGTAGCACACCGGGCAGACCCAGTCATCGATTTGCGGGACGACGGAAAGAACTTTTGATCCAATCTCGGCATGCAGATCACGAGCAATGGAGTTTGCGAAACCGCCAGCACCGCTCTTGCCAGTCATGAGAGCGGGATACTTGATCTCCAAACTATGGATGAATGGCTTGCCTTCTAAATGCGTCCGCTTGTTGAACTTCTTCAGAATCTTGGTCATTGCTCGTGCGTTCATCTCTTGGAAGTGCATGATGTTGAGAATGTTCACGTTCAGGTCCAAGAATGCCTTTGCTGCAGCCTTGGCTTGAGGAGTCTTCATCTTGCCGAGGAGTCCAGTCTCGCGCAATTGCTTGTCATATTCTTCGAGATTGCTCCTGGCTTCCTTGTAAGTGATTGCTCCCCGTCGTCTTTCAGTTTCGGTGTAGAAGATGGGTTTCTCAAGGTATAATCGGAACATCTCACGCCAGAAGTACAGGTCTCGGTAGCTCATTCCGCGCTTAGCTTCGAAGCCTTCCCGTACGGGCTGGACGACATCCTCGACTGCGCCGCCCAAGTCTAGTATTTCGTCCTCCAGATTGCGAGTCTCCTCAGTTCGCAACTCGTCCAACTCCATCATCTTGGGCTCCAACATCTCGAAGAAATCCTGTGCAGAGGCGAGTGGTACTTGTATCCATCGCGCGTCTGGTGACTGCGAATTGAGCGAGTTTGAACATGTCGTGTCTGGGTCATCGCTCGGTGGGTCCTGAACGGCATGTAGTTGTAGATGTTCACCCAGGTTCTCTCTACGCCCTGCAATTACCATTTCATGTTTGGCGAGCTTCTGCAGCGACTCTCGAGTCTCTGGCGCGAGTTTGGCTTCCAGTGGAGTTCCTGTGTGGCTGTCCACCAATATTCGCAGTTGAGGTGTAAACTCTTCTGGTATGCTTTCCAAGCCTGGGCGTGTGCCAGCATAGTAGTCATGCACCTTCTGCTCCTTATGCTCTTGTGGCCCTCCAATCAATTCGCCCATAGAGTCGAGTGTTGCTGCATCCAAGCCCAGGCTCTCCAATTCCTTGCGCACCTTTTTGATACATTTCTTCAAATGCTTGTACTCGATCGCCTTCTGTACCCATTCTGCTGGGAAGCCTTCATTGGCCAAGGCCGTCTCATACTCGTGGCCGAACTTCATCGTCGGTGGGTGGTTAATATCATGTGATAGGGTGGGAATGGAGCAGTGTTTGTTGGCTGCCCGACCGCAGTAGTGGTTCTAGTGGGTGGCGGTGGCGGTGGGGTAGCGCGGAGGCGGATGAGTGGGTCTACATTACACCACGCGCGACAGGGCCGGCTGCCTCTCTATATACATGTCGAGAGGCGAAGGCGGAGGCGGAGGCAGAGGCAGAGGCAGAGGCGTGAAGTCTCTGTCTAGACCGCATTCGCCGCGCCTTGAGAATAGCGTCACAAGCGCCATTTGGCCTGCGGAGAGGTCCGGCTGGCCGACCAGCTAGTCAAGCACAACCATTTTCACCTCCCGTTCCGGCAGGAGGTCTCGTGGGTTCCAGCTTCACATGATGGTGATGGTGATGGTGATGCAGCATTGGAGGCGTGTGGTTGGTGGTGGTGGAGGTGTCAGCTACAGCTGCAGAACATCTTCTATATCACACATCTAGCGACCACGAGTTCGCCTGACGCTGTGCGCAGGCCTTTTGATTCGACAGCGGCGCAAACAGACTTCTCGGAGGAGCAGGCGGCACCTCGGAAGGCGCCGCTAGGGACCGTCGATCAACGTCATCGCATCATCCACGTGGGTGCATGTGGGCGTCAAGCATTGCTTGGCAGCGCATGGTCCCGGTCTTCTCGCCGGCTTGTTCAAGCTTCCCAACCCGCATGCCATCAAGACAACAACTCCATCAAGGTCGAATCGTGTCATACCAGATGCCACTTCGGCACACCCAAGCCGGCCATCTTTACGCTTGAACGCACACTTTGCACGGGAGGTCCGAGAGGCAGCAGGCCAAGCCTTCGAATCATCTCGCCATGCTCCGTTGGCGACAAGCCGATGAAAGGGAGGTAGGTCGATCAATAATGAACGTTAGCACGAGCGAACATAGCAGAGATTCCGCCATTGGATTGCGCAATTCATGGCATTGATCATCCTACAACGACTACCGGCAAAGTGTGCCGCTCTGATCTGTCGTCAGCGAATCCGCGGTCATATTCTAGGAGCTCTGAGAGCTTTTCTATGGCGTGCTCATTCCCGTGCATGCGGCCCACTTATGTCAGGATAAGGTGGCAGTATACATAAAGCAAGTGCATTGCAACGACGTTCATTTGCTTTGGTCACGCAATAATATTTCACACTGTTCACTATGGCTCCAGGAATCCTGACTGATGACTTGCCTGTCCATTCAACCGAGGCCAATGGCAAGACTTCGTATCCGACACCGATAAAACCCACGGGAGCCCTGGATCAGTTCACATACGAGGATACGACTCCGGCCATTGGTCGCGAGTTTCTTGATGCAAATATCGTCAACGACATACTCAATGCTTCCAACGCCGAAGACCGTCTTCGTGACCTGGCTTATACCAGTACGTTCACAATATGGAAGCATCGGGTAGTTGTGCTGATATGACTCCAGTATCATCACGAGGCGTGGTGTTCTTCCGCAAGCAGGACAATCTCACCAATGACCTCCAGAAAGAATTCGTGCACCGTCTTGGTCTAGCTACAGGGAAACCGAAGGATTCGACACTCCACATTCATCCAGTGCTGAACAACACATCGGAGTTCGGCGTGGGAGATGCAGAGATATCACACATCAGCTCAGTCGCAAGAAAGGAGATGTTCAAGCACGAAGTCCAGTCGCGCAAGAACCAGAGATACGACTCCGCTCAATGGCACTCAGACATCCAATTCGAACCCGTGCCGGCAGACTACACTTCCCTCCGCTTGACCCTGCTCCCAAAAACCGGCGGCGACACTCTCTGGGCCTCGGGCTACGAAATCTACGACCGCTTTTCTCCCGCCTATCGAAAGTTCTTCGAAAGCCTAACAGCAACCTTCATCGGCGACGGCTTCATCAACGCCGCAGCCGCCAACCCAGAAAACGTCAAAATCTACGATCAACCCCGAGGCTCTCCCAAAAACACCGGCAAACACCTTTCCGCCGTGCACCCCATCGTCCGCACGAATCCCGTCACGGGTTGGAAGAGTATTTACGCTCTGGGACCTTTCCCGAAACAGATCAATGAGCTAACGATCGAGGAGTCGGATGACTTGTTGGCGAAATTCAAGAGGGTGATTTTGGATAATCATGATTTGACTGTGCGGTTTAAGTGGAGGAATGAGAATGATATTGCGATTTGGGATAATCGGAGTGCGTTTCATAGTGCGACTTTTGACTATGAGGGTTTGGGGGAGCGCTTTGGTTGTAGGGCTGTGGGGATTGGGGAGGTGCCGTATTTGGATCCGCGGAGTAAGAGTAGGAGTGAGGAGTTGTTTGGGGGTGTCTGAGGAGGGGAGGCGGTATGAGGGCTGTTGAGGTTTGAGGAGCTGTTAGGACAGCTGTTGATATGATGAGCTTATGAGATGACAGAATTTGATTGATGGCAACATGTTTTTTTCCATGATCTGCTGCTCGACTATTGTTATTCATCAACGTTACTTGTCGTGATCATTCTTCTTCAAAATTGCTGTTGTCAAAGCCCATCACCCAAAATCAGCATGTCTCGTTCCATATGCATCCCAACGCATACCAAACACTGCAATCCATCGCTCCCTTAAGTCAAATCGATCATCTTTGCCCACGTACCTCCATCTGTTGGTCATTGGGGCAACATTGCCGGCACTACTACCTAATTGTGAAGCCAAGTCTTGGCATTTCTGTGTGTTTGGCAAAATGGTTCAAAATCTCAACCACATGTCCAAGAGTTTGTAAACAGCTTACAGATGTGTTCCAAGCTGTGTGCACCGTGTTAGGGTGCTAAGAATTGGTCCATATCAGAATAAAAAATCTCTCCGTAAACAAAATTCTCCCGACGCGGGATCGAACCGCGGGCCTCAAGATGCTCTGAGTAAATCCGTTACAGTCTTGCGCTCTTCCAGCTGAGCTATCGAGAGTTTTCGGCGACTGAGTCGACCAGATAGCTGATTGGGTGAATGGCGCAAAGTCAACAACGACTATAGTGTTACAATGACGTGCCCTGTCGATCGTTGAGCATGGGTTAACCCGGGCCCGGACTCTCCGTCTATTCCGTTAGCTTTACCTTCCCTCTGGTTGCTTCTCAAGCACCTGTATATCCATCTTTGACCCATGGAATCGCTTAGAATCATCAGCATGTCTATACCATAACGGTTGAACAATCGACATCCGCTGCCGACTCACCACGATTCTCTACTCTACTGCAGTGCTGCTGTGCATTTCACCAGGCACAGGCTGGGCTCGGCTTTTGCTACCGGAGCTGAAAGGTGCCATAAAATTTATCGAGGTCGATGGTGAAACATTGCTCTGCTGCTGTGGAGTACAGCGTTGGCTTGGATTGCTTCTCAAGATAATCTGCTTCTTCGCTCCTTTTTTGAGAGCATGTTCCGGAATATTTCCATGCATAGATCTCTGATTAAGTGGTCCACGGTTGAGAAGATCTTGTAAAGCTTCATGTGGTCGAGAGGACGTGGCGCAAAACAGCTTTGGGATTCTATTGGGATAGAACCACACATGTACTGACATTGCAGGCAGATAGTGGTCAGTACGTCAATTTTCATCATCTCCCAAAAAGCTGATTATGATCTCCTATCCCCTTCATTCCATGATGCAAATGACACCTCCAGACACCCTTCTCCCTCCGAAACTTAAACTCATTCATCAGAAACGTCTTGATCTCCTCCGGTGCCCCGGTGACTTCAGTCTCCATAAACACCGTCGCAACACCAGAATCCTCATCTACATCGGAAGACACACTAACAATTTCACCATGATAATGCGGGAACTGCTCGATTGTTTGTCGTACAATAGCGCGCTATGCTCAGCCAAGGTGAGAGGATGTGGGAAATTCTCAAAGTGAGCACGAAAGTTGGGAGACACAGACTTGTAGAGTCCACCGTTTTGGAAGTCGAGATCTCGGTCGTTTGTTGCTTTGACTCCGCCAATGCAAATCGATTCGAGATATGAGCTTGTGCTTTGACCTGGGGCGGGACTCCCGCTTGTTGAGACTTCTGTCGCTGGTGTCGAAACGGTCGATTGCTCAGACAAAGCTGAGGATTGTGATGTTGTCGAAGGAGTCTCTGGTTGAGACATTGGGAGCGCTGGGCCAATTTTTGATTTGTTTTCAGAGAGTCTTTTGAGTTTGAAATGCTACCATGTGACATCGATCGATGTCGAATGCGGAGCTCTTGGCGCGCAATTTAGACCTTGTTGCCGATTTGGGAAGGATGTAGTACATAGTATCTCGGTCTGAGTGTTGGTGGATGCTGCTTTCGATACAATCTCATAAGATGTTGTTGATTAGTAGTGAACGGGACAATGTCCGACTCAAGTAGCTGCCTACCGTCCCAAGAAATGCAATGGGCTGATATTACTTCTCCGTTACTGGGGCTATTTTGGGATCCCGTTCTCTTGCTTTCTTGGCCCCTGCCTTCACACTGCCATTCCGCGATCCTTCGTTCTGGCATTATTCGTGGATTTATCAACATACGCGACAAGTTGCTGTAGCCTCGGATTCCAAAGGCTTTCAGTCAGCGCAGTGATTGCTTTCAGCTCTGCTCGCTGCTCGCGCTTCAGCCGCGATATCTCGAGATCACATTTCATTCCGACATCCACGACCACTCCCAAAGACTTCGCCGGACGACCCGGATGCAAACTGTGCATTCGAATAAGAAGAAGAGGTGGAGAGGGTGATGAAAATTCGGGATATCGATGCAGCACCTCGAGGCTGATGAAAACAAGGAGCGCTGGTAATGGCAACCACCGCCATATTTGGGAGCGCGACTTGAGAACCACCCCATCAGATAGGCGCAATAGCAGAAGAGGTGGAGCATTCGACGTGCTGGATATCTGATAAGTTGTACCTCAAATCATGGAGTCTTCAGAGACCACTTGGGCTCAGCACAGCTTCCTGGCGTGCATCGTGCATTGTGCAGGCCTCGCGCTCCTTTCGGCTCTCCTCGAATTCTCCCCCATGGTCAGATATCCGCGCTTTCCAGAATGGAAGGTCAGCTTGGTGCATAGAGCTCTCGCTCAGAAGCCATGTAGATGCAGCTGCAGTAGGCACTGTTGTCTAGGGTTTGTTGACCAAGCCAGGCTCGAGTATAGCTAGTCGTCGTCGGAAGAGGCTCGTGCTGTCCATCATGTGATACTTTCAACCGATGTCGTCCTTTTCAGCATAAGTTAGAGAGCAGTGAGGGTAAGTTCTTGGCCTTTTCATTCATTGTCGCGACTTCCAGAAGGGCGTAACTATGGTTCATCGTGACTGCTCTTCACACAGATCATGCCATTATGCCTTACAGATTGGAATCAACCCAGACTCTGATAAGAGTATATCATCGTATTCGTCAGAGCGATTCGTGGCCCTCAGCTTATTCTAGAATCCTTGCTCCCAGTGACTCTCAGGCACGTCAGGCATGGTTGGAAATCCAAAGTTCTAGAAGCGGGTCCCTCGGTCCTACAAAACGACGTCAATCGTCCGTCAATGCCTTTCGTCAGAGCAACTTCCCTTCAAGCTTTCACCACCACACACATTCTCACAAAGAGTTGTGGACCATACCGAAGCATTCGAAATTACACAAACATGGCCGCACAGGTTCCATCCAAGATGAAGGCCATCACGATCCACGGCAACAAAGCCAAGATCTCAGAAGTTCCTGTCCCAAAGCTCAGACCTACATACATCCTCGCAAAGGTCGACTCGATTGCTCTCAACCCCACAGACTGGAAGCATATCAACGGAAAGCGAGCCGCCGAGGGATGTATCTCAGGATGTGACTTCAGCGGCACAGTTGTAGAGGTCGGATCAGAGGTATCGAAGGCCTTCAAGCCAGGGGACCGAATCGCATGCACAACTCACGGTGCCAATGCCAGCGAGCCCGAAGACGGCTGTTTCTCCGAATACGCAGTCGCCAAGGGTGACCTCTGCGTCCTCCTACCAGACAAATTATCTTTCGAGGCAGCTGCCACTTTCCCGTTAGGCGTTGCTACTGTCGGACAAGGACTCTACCAACAAGGACTCAAGCTCAACTTGCCAACCGACCCAACCAAGAATGGGGAGACTGTTCTCATTTACGGTGGATCGTCTGCAACAGGTAGCTTAGCTATCCAGTTCGCAAAGCTATCAGGTTACAAAGTGCTCACGACTTGCTCGCCTCACAACAATGACTTTGTGAGGTCTCTCGGCGCAGATGGGGTCTACGATTACAAGGACCCGAACTGTGGCAAAAACATCAACAAAGACACCAACGACTCCCTCAAACTCATCTGGGACACAATCTCACTCCAGGCTTCTGCCAAGATTTGTGCAGAGGCACTTTCTTCCGACTCCACAGGCACCAAGTACTGGACCATCCTGCCAGTCAGGCTTCCAGGACGCGAAGGTGTCGATCAGGGCTTCACTTTCATGTACACCATCTTCAACGAAGCATTCTCCAAGGCTGGTAGAGAGACGCCAGCTAAGCAGGAGGACTTCGACTTTGCCAAGAAGTTCTTTGACATCACGCAGAAGCTGCTTGCAGAGGGCAAGCTCAAGACTCATCCGGAGAAGGTTGGTGCGGCGGGTCTGGAAGGTGCTTTGAAGGGGATGGAGGATATGAAGAATGACAAGGTCTCCGCGAACAAGCTGGTCTATCGCGTGCGAGACACGCCATCGAATAGCAAGGCAGAGGTTGACCTGTAAGCTGGTTCGCTGTTGGATAGCTTGATACGAGATCTGATCATCAGAAGACCAACATCGAAGTCGAAGCTATGAGTTTCACATGATCGAAAGTGTATATGCTTTCAAGACAACGGAAAGTGATAGGTCCTTTCGAATGGTCCCAATAACTAAGTCCTCATATTTCGACTCCAAGCTATTTCCAGCCAGCAATCACATCTCCACAACCGCATCCTCAAGCGCCTTATAAACCCCTTCCAACAACCCCTCCGCCTTCTCACACATATCCTCATACTCCTCCATTTGCACGCTCGAAGGAAGCCTAAAGCTCAATGTGATAACTTCTCTCACCTTGGAGACAACCTTCCCCTCACCTCTCATCAAAAACATCACCACACCCCAAATATTTCCCGCAATATTCTCGATACCGCCACCTCCATCACTCGTCTTAATCATAACCTCAATCTCCAAACTCCGCAGCTCCCGAAACCCCACAATCGCTCCAAAAGCCTCTTCAAGATTATACGCCGCGGCTGAAATATACCCGCACCCGCGTCCCCACGAGCGCGAAAGAGCCGAACTCTCTTGAGCGTCGAGCTCGAGCTTCAGGAAGCGGACGTGTGTTGCGAAGGGAAGAATTTGGTCTTTGAAGTTGAGGAAGGTGAGGACAGGCATAGCGAACGCGTTCTCTCCGTATAAGATCGAGGTTGACTCGGTTTGGATTTGCTTGCAGGAAGCTATGAGGTTTGGGGAGAGCTGGTGATTTGTAGGCACGCGCTCTGGGCGGCAGGGATGCTCTACGTATAGCGTGAATTTCTTGGGGCCGGGGATTGGTTGCATGTTCAGGTATTCTTTTGGCATCTGCGATGCGTTAGTGTGTAGTCTTGCCGGAAACCGTGGGTTACTTACAGTGTCGGCGCATAGCGCTAGTCTGTATATTTGATTTCTCAGCTCTGCTGAGAGGGCGAGAAATGATGCCGGTGGCTCTTGTTGCTGCGACATATTTTTGTTGTGGTGAGATGCTGTCGAAAAGGCCATGCTTGATGATAGTTCTTGCCCTGTCGATGTTCTTTTGCTCTGTGTCGGTACGATTTATAGTCGTTCGAAGTCGAAGCTTATATATCAGGCAGCTTTCTGTGAGGACCTCGCTGTCACAAGCTGCCTTAGCCCACAAATTAAGCTCGTGAAGAATGAGGACAACGCAAATAGATCGGGAGAGACGGAGGAAAACGATATTCCATGAGATTTGCATCGCCCAGTGAGCAGAGAGAAGATGTTTGGCATGCCGGATAACTTACATCAGCACCGTGTGTAACGCAGTGAAGAGAGTTTTAGACAACCATAGTTTGCAGCAAAATTCGCGAAAGTTGGAAGACACGTGCTGGAGGTTCCTAAGCTTGGGGCAAAGAGACCAGTTCTCACCTTCTTCCATGTTTAACTACGCACTTACTCCAACTGGATGCTGTCGTCGCGCCGCCAGCCGAAGAAATAATGCCACTTCCATGCCGTGTCCTGATAGACCCCACTGAAGCGCTAATATCGGCAAACTTTTCATCTCAGCAGCTTCTTTAGCTCCTGCTTGACTTGTAGAGTGTATTCTCTTATAGCTCGTGGTCGACCAGGTCTGGTCATGTCCATTGATGATTCGCTGCCGATCCATTCGCTATAGAACTCAATTATGTCGACAAAGTCCTGCACTGCCGGATGCCTCTCTTTCGCACTACGAAACGCCCTGGCCAAATGCCCCAGCTTTTTTGCCATCTCTTTTGGTCCATATTTGGGACATACGTCTTGGTAGAAGATGCCTAAATAGTTTAGACCAGTAGCTTTCCGCAGGCTGGCGAGCAGATATACTAGATCTTTCTTGGTCATGCCTCGATCGACTTTGAGGTAGCGCAGGCGACTTGCCCAGTCCCAGCTGCTGCTGAGCTTGCGCACAAAAGTACCCAGGGCATGAGCGTAGCCGACGAAAGCATGATTCCAGTACACAATTGCAGCAGCGTCTTTCCAGATCGTTCGACAGGTCTGGAGCAGAGCAGGCGTGAGGGCATTACGATATGCAGATGGAGGTCTGGCCCTGCCACGTTCTTCGACGCGTAAAGGTCGCTCTGCAATGAGCGCGAGATGATAGACCTCGTTTCGAAGTTCGGGAGGGAGATCGAGGAAAGAGATCGGGTTAGCGATTGTAGGGCTTGGCTGAGGCATCGTCATGGTCTCGACATGGAGTTCGGTGATCTAGGTTAGCAATCATGAGTGTGGTAAGCAAGCAGTTCACGACTTAAGTAGTCCACAACGACCTCGAGACAGACAGTCTTGCCGTGCACATGTCTTTGCCGCCAGGCTGAGACAGTCTTGTGATTCTGGAGCTCACAGCGAGCACCCGCTCAGATTCATTCACTCACAGACAACGTGAGTGCTGCTGCTAGCGGATCCATCTGGAGATCGACTGGCACATGCTACGCTTCGTCCGAGCCATGGTGCTTCTTTCGAGTAGGTCTACTCATGGAGCGAAGATGCCGTCCCGCACAATGGGGGTCCTGTGCCCTTCGCTGCTGCCTTGTCGTCTTGGATCGATCAGTTGTTGTACGATAGGGTGTATTCATGGGTCATGATAAAGTTCGTCAGTGATGCTCGTGTACGACGGATGGCATGAGAAACGGAGACCGTTCTGCCAAGCATTGTGTTTCAAGCTCATTCGATAAGGTTCAAGAAGGCCCGAGGCGCCGAGCTAAAATGCGATTTCAGCATCAACCAACTTCATCGCCCTGCACCTTATATATCATGTCATTGACATGAAATCCATGTACGCCCTTACAGCCGTGTAAGCTCTCAACATACCTTTCTTCGCCGCATATGCATACCCCAACCAAGAACAATGGGCAGCTCGCGGGCTGAGCTGTTCAGCCTCAACGAGCTGCGTGAAGATGCCACACGCCTCATTGATGAGCTTCCACGCGCCAGCACTAGGGATGAGGCGTTGGACATTGCCATCAAAGCTGCAGAGGTGTCGATGCGGGCGATGAAGCTCGCCACCGATCGCCACGAGAAGTCGGCATGCAAAGCACGAGTGCAACAGCTAATGCAGGATGCCGAACGCATCAAGCATGACTCCGATTGGAAGAAAGCGGTCCGCGCAGCTACAGGTAGACTGCAAGGCAAGACGATCGACGCCAGCACTGTGAAAGTACTGAATGAACCTGTGAATTCCCGCCAGTTGCCCAACAAGGAAGAGCTGATCTTACTGAGAGCCGGCTATCTCAATGGAACCAAGTTCCCGCCCTGGAGGAAGGAGCCGCAACCCATCGAATTCGAGCTCAAAGATGGTGAGGATCTATTCTTGTATGTCTGCTTCGATGTTTTATGTCCTCTCCTACTACTGACAAATCTGCCCAAGAGATGAGTTCTCCGAGCTCCCGCTCTCTGACTTTCAACATGATGTTCTGGACGACTGGAAACGTCCGAGCGAAGCACTACCGCCGCCATCTTGGTTCTCCCGCGACAGAGTCAACCTGGGACCATCCATGCACTTCTTCCGCGATATCGATCTCGTGCAAGATGCTGCTACTGACTGCTCCGTGGTGGCATCGCTTTGTGCTAGCGTGGCGAGAGGACAACGTGGCCATGCCAAGATGCTACAGAAGCTCATTTATCCGTACGACAACGATTGTGGCCGACCTTCGCTCTCGAAGAATGGAAAGTACATCATACGAATGAACTTCAATGGCTGCTATCGCAAAGTGGAGATCGATGACCGAATACCAACCAGCTCCACACACCGCGTCATTCATGTCATCGATCGGAACAATCCTGGTCTACTCTGGCCAGCACTCATGGAGAAGGCGTATCTCAAGGTCAGAGGTGGCTACGACTTTCCGGGTAGCAATAGCGGGACCGACTTATGGATCTTGACCGGCTGGATTCCAGAGCAAGTCAACCTCCAGGCCGACGATCTTGAGCCCGACAAGTTCTGGAGACAGATCAGCAATGGCTTTTCATATGGAGATGTACTGATCACGATGGGCACGGGCAAGATGTCCAAGGCCACAGAGCGAGCGCTCGGCCTAGCAGGAGAGCACGACTACGCTGTACTCGACCTTCGCGAAGTAGATGGGCAGCGACTGTTCCTCATCAAGAATCCTTGGGTGGAAGGTCCCAGCTGGAAAGGCAGATTCAAACATGCGACAAGGAAGTCAGACCGGGCCAAAAGCCAATCTCTGGATGGGCCACTCATCACGTTCGACGATGAAACAGAAGCTGTTGACTCGCCGCGGGATCTTCTTAATGAGGAGGTGCTCACACCTGGGACTTTCTGGATGGACCTGGACACTGTCCTGCAGCACTTCGAGTTCCTCTACCTGAACTGGAACACGGGACTATTCAAATATCGACAGGATGTACACTTCTACTGGGATATGTCTGAACCACTCGATAGTCATGGCATTGGTAAAATGCGAGGCCCGCACGCAAGTCTTCAGCATAATCCACAGTATACGGTCAGCTCGAGTCGAGGGGGCACTATTTGGGTGTTGCTCTGGCGACACTTCCAAAACTCGGTACCCGAAGATGCCACTGCAGATGAAATTGAAAGCGGACGCCACCATATGGACCTCAGTGGCTATATCTCACTGATCGCATTCGCGGCAAAAGGAAAACGAGTCATGCTGGGTGAACGATACCTACAGAAATTGTGGTACCTTGACAGCCCGCAGACCTTGCTGAAACTGGAAGATTGCGAGCCTAACGTGCCATACACCATCGTACCTCTAGAGCAGGATCTACCAGCTGTGAAGCTTGGCTTCACGATCTCAACATTCAGCAACTCACCAATCTCTCTAGCAGAAGCCACACCACGCTATGCTCACTCCAAGAAGGTGACTGGTAGGTGGACCAAGCACTCTGCTGGTGGCAACACACAGCTTCCGACCTATTACGACAATCCCCAGTATACCATCAACGTGCCCCAAAGGACGTCAATCAGCCTCCTTCTTGAAGCGTGCAACCCAGAAGTGAATGTGAACGTCAAACTTCTCCACGGCAGTCGCCAACGCCTCTATCGCCTGATGAACAAAGACATCTTAGTCGACAGCGGAGACTACCGCCCAGGAAGCTGTCTCGCCGAATTGGAAGAACTCCCTCCAGGCCAATACACCATTATCTGCAGCACATTCGAAGCTCACGATATAGCTGACTTCTCCCTCCTCATCCAATCCTCTCGCCCAGTCTCCGCAGAACTCCTACCACGTGAAGGCGCCGGCCGCATTCGAGCCGAACTAAGTACAGTAGCCTTCAAACAAGGCGAGACCAAAGTCGCCGCACCTCTACAACCTCGTCGACTCATGAACTTCTACGCCATAGCTCGACACTACGACACCGCACCTGGCTCTCCCCGCTCAGCACACTCACACATTCGTCTCAGCGTCGAGCTTGGAAGAGGGCCGACCCGTCGCATCATGATTGCTTCGAATAATGGAGAGTACTCGGAATCTGCGGGCGCGGTACGAACGGATCCTATTGACCTCGGCCCAGATTTCTGGAAAATGGGTTATCGCGATTGCTGGATTGTTCTGGACCGGATGCATGTGAGTTCGGAGAACCAGGAGGAGAGGTTCCAGGTCGAGTTGTTTTTGGATCAACCGGATGCTGTCGATGTGGGTGTCTGGAGGGCTTGGGATGATTGATATGCAGGCCGGGAAGTGTGTCGATTTCCAATAGCCATCTCTTGGCGCTGGTGAGATGTCTACCGTAAGCCTCGCCACAAGCAGTGCCTCACTCTATTTTCTCTCGTTTCAGATGGAGGTTGAAAGAGCAGGGTAGTGAAGTGCCGCTTTGCGGTCCATGACCAGGAGCGCGAGTCGATTACTGAAGGAAGATCGATCTTCACGGCAACGTTTTCGAGATCTGGAAGCTGGAGTGTTCAGACAGATCTTAATGGCAATCTGTCTTGGGTGCTGAGGACTTGCGAACCAGCTCCAGCCGCTTGCAATAGCACCCTGTCTTGTGATGTTGACTGGCGTTGCTTTCTGGCTGCAGATTTGTGACAGCTTATGCGGAGATAGCCATGATATCGTATGGCTCCAGTGTCTCTAGCCATGATGATACACCTAGCAGTGTGAGAGCCAGCGAGATCCGAACTTTGCCGAATGATATGCGCTATGGTGTTGCTAAAAACGTGCTTTGTTGGTCGAGCCTCGTGATGACATGAGATCAGATCTGAGCGGGAGTTGGTCCCGTGCCGTCAACACGCGTACCAGCAACGGTGACGGTGAGGTGTACCTGGCGGCGGTGAAGGTGCAAGCAGGTGACCTGTGGCGACGGCGACGGCGAGACTGGCGAACATGTGCCTGTGGCTGATACGGTGGTGTGCGTGAACGGTTGGTCGAGGTTCGTCGTCTCTGCTGCCTCTGCAACCAGGCTATTCTATCACACTACCTCCAGCATGCTGGTATGATTAACAAGTCCAAAAGACGGTGTACTCTCTTCGTCCGCCATCTTCCACTCTGCCACCTGATTCTCCTGATCGATGCGGTACATTGCTCGGCGATTGTCTGGTCCCTGAAAGAGGAAGAGGAACCCCGCCAAAACGCTGAGCCGATCCAACGTCGTCATTGCGGCGGTGACTTTTTGCTACCAACACCAAAACACGCCTTCTCTGACCAAAACCTGCATATTCATTCACCCTGATAGACCGCACTCCTCACTTCTACGCGATCGATTTGGCAGGCAGACTGTGAGGCGAAGCAGGCTTCGAAGCAGCTTTTGGCTGCGAACCCAACAACGGCTTCCCACCACATCAGCACATCGTTTCAGACCGACAAGATGGTCTTCCGGTCGAGCAAGAATTCGTCTGAAGAGTCGTCAGCTACCACAGACACCCCAGGCACTCCTGGATCCGAGACCGCATCCCTCGAAGCGAATACAAATGGCGCACCGCCGACCGCCCCTAAAGTGGAGGCTCCAGTTGTGCCAGATGGACAGACGCCCTCAGACACAAGCAAGCTCAAGACGTTCCTGATGATATTGAAGAGATTCATTGGAGTCACAGACATCGCAGCAGTGCGCTTCAGTCTTCCGGCACAATTGATGGAACCCATCCCCAATCTCGAGTACTGGCACTATCTCGACCGACCTGAAACATTCGCCGCGATTGGCGACAGCGACGACCCACTTGAGCGGATGCTCGCATGTCTGCGGTTTTGGTTCACGAAAGACTTGAAGTATGTCAAGGGAAAGCCTTGCAAACCATACAATAGCTCGCTGGGCGAGTTTTTCCGCTGCACGTGGGATGTGGAGCCAACGGATAAGGAGCAGAAACCGACAAAAGTGAACTACATTACGGAACAAACTTCGCATCATCCGCCAGTCTCTGCGTATGTTTACGACTGTCCTGAGAAGGGAATTGAGGCGGTAGGCTACGATCAGCTTTCCGCCAAATTTACAGGAACCAGCGTGAAAGTAGTGCCAGGACAGTATAACCAGGGCATCTTCGTCAGATTAAAGAATCGCGACAACGAAGAGTACCAGCTCACGCATCCAGCAGCATATCTCGGCGGCTTTCTGCGAGGTAGTCTATACGTGACTGTCGCAGATACATGCTACGTGATCTGCGAGAAGACAGGCATCAAAACGATCCTCCACTACCTCGAAGAGGGCTACTTCGGAAAGACACAAAATAAAGTCGAAGGCGTAATCTACAAGCCTGCGGACATCAAGAACGACACCATCAACAAGCTCAAAGATGTGCCGAAAGACCAGATTCTCGGCCGTCTCGAAGGTGTCTGGACCGAGAAGATCTACTTCTCGCCTGGCGCGACAGAATTCAAGAAGACTCCAGAATCCGATCGCATACTCCTCATGGACGTGACGCCTCTTGTGCCAGTTCAAAAGAAATGTCCGCCGATGGAACAACAATTGCCGAACGAGAGCCGGAAATTCTGGGGCAAGGTTACCGATGCCATCACCAGCAAGCAGTTCGGCCTCGCGACCACGGAAAAGCAGAACTTGGAAGAAAGACAGCGAGAACGGGCGACTGAACGGCAAAATTCTGGAAAGAAATGGCAGCCCAGGTTCTTTACCACCGTGACGGAGGAAGATGGCAGGGCCATTCTGAACGAAGAGGGAAAGAAGGTTATGGAAGGCATGCAGAAGGAAGAATACCAGCTAAAGGAGCCAGAAGAGTACGGTGCTCTCTAGGCGTAAGGAGGAAACGTGGTTGCGGACGACATGAACAACTTCTGATAGATGACCGGTTAGGTTTGGATGGTCTGGTCTTGCATATGGAATGGCGTTGGCTGGGCGCATTTTATGGGAATACGACTACGTTTGGACGTACAGGCATACGTCTTGTAATAGTTTCGGTCCAAATTATGGGTGTAGATATTTGTCTGTGCTGAAGAGAAGAGAAGAGAAAGAACGGGGAGGTCTTTTCTTGACTGTGTTCATGATGAAGAAGAGCTGGATTTTGAGGCTGCCTGGCTGGATTTTCCAGTTGCTGATTCGCTAGCGGCAATTGAAATGGCTCTACGCCAGATTCTCGGGTTGAGATATTTGCATCTTGAATGCTTTCTTTACATTACTTGTCGGTATCGCGACCTAGGAGTTGGTCTCACGGGCTATAGGCATCCGGACCTTTTAGCGCGACCTTAGCATCGGTAGTAGAAGAACTAAGAGTTAATAAAGAAGACAGGAATGTATTTAGAAGTTAATATTTGCCTAAGCTGCACCGTAGAGAAGAATAACTCTTAATATCCCGCTAAGCTAACCGTAATTGCATCTTTAAAGCACCGAAATCGCCGGAGTCGCTGCATTTATCCTTAGCTAGTGCCTTAGAATCGCGTACTAGCCAGTTATTGTGTAACTTATTCTAAGTACCTTAAATCTATAAAACTATCGTCCGTCTATTCTAGCTCGTAGCATCGGTGCCCTATACTACGAGCTTTCTATATTGTAAATCGTGCTAAGGATGCAACTAATTATCGGATTAACAACTATATAACTATACAAAGAAGGATTAGGAGCTAGCTATAGAAACTATAGTTAATATACCTATTGTATGTCCTTCCTCTTAGCATAGGTTAGCTAATAGTATTAGCTAACTAGCATATTACCTAACTGAACTATAATACTCCCCCTTAGGTAGAGATAATATACTGTTCAGATTAGACACTCTAAATCTAGGCTTAGAGCTTTACTTCATCCTCTAACTGCCTTTAGATATTAGACTATATCTGCTTTATATGCAGCTTTATATACTATACTACTTGTACGTGCTTGTATTATATTGTTTACTAATTGGTTTGCTTTAGAGTGATGTCCTTAGTCGTAATTGTAGGGTTAGCAGGCGCCTATAGAAGACGCTTGAACTTAACTAGACAACTTGAACTTTTACAATCCGCTCTTTAGTAATCCCCTAAGTACTAGCAGCCTCTACTAGAATTCAAATTCTTACTAAGACCTTCTAAGTCTAACAGCTAGCCGAGACTTTATTATAGCGATAATTCTTTACCCTAGCCTAGGGAGTATAGCGAGTAGTATAGGCAGCAGTAGTAGCGGCGGCGGTAGTAATAATCTAAACAAGAATCGGCACCCTTCGCGTTATAATAAGCTCTAGCTTATAGAGACTAGTAAGTGTTGCTACTAGAGTTTCCCCTTTCCTAACAATTTGCTAACTAGGCGTAGTCCTTAAGGAAGTATAGTTAACTGTCGCGATTCTCTAGAGAATTATCTAGTGCTTAACTAATATTGGTCCGGAGTAGACTCCGCCTTAGCTACGCAACGTTAATGTTAGGCATTTTATTACGAGCTAGGATAATGCTCGGCTGTTTCTAAGTGTGCCTCCGCGTCTGCGTAAGGCGGCTAAGGCATTCAATTTAGGCTTAAAATCGAATGTTAACTACTTGCCTACCGCGCTTGTATATACGGCTGCTACTAGACGCGTATATACTAGTAATAGCTAGTGCGGTCCTTGCAAGCAGTTAAAGGGTCCGTACTTAGAGTGTATAACTCTAAGTTATTAAATTAACGGTTAGGATATCGCTTTCCTAAAGGGCGCTTATACTAACTGTGCTAGCCTAAATTATTGTAGTTAATGCGAGTTCTCTAGTAAGTTGAATCTAGTCTTATGCATTTTTTTAAAGCAAAAACACTAATTCTTTTGTTAGGTTACGTCTCTCGGCTACGCTCTAATACGAATCGTTAGACGCCTATAGCGCCTCTGCTGCCTCGCAATCTAGGGAGCAGAGTAGGCACTAATTAGCGTCGTCTATACGTGCTAGTCCCGTCTAGTATCGATTAGAGTACTCCTTAGGGCGCCTAGGTAGTAGCAAATTTGCTACTATAGCAAACAAATGCTTATACCTAGGCTACTGCTTAGGGACGTAGTCGTAGTCTAGGTTCTAGGTTGTCTACTAGTCCTAGCTCGACTCGTAATTCTAGTAGTCCTTAGAGGGGTTTCTCTAATTACGAAGACAGTAATGCTAAGATAGGTAGCTAATTAGGGAGATTCGGTTTTTTCTAGTAGACAGAGAGCTATAATGTATATTTTCGATTTTGAAATAGGCTAGGCAGTCTAGATTAGTAAAAGCCTTGCAGCATTAGAGAGTTTCTAACTCTTAAGGGCTAGGGTATTTCTTCCTGCTTAGTCTCAATATTGTTATAAAAGAAATTTTGCAGCTTAGACTACATAGTGCAGCTAGGCTATTTCTAGAAATTAGAATGAAATTCAATGAGTGTATAAAGCTTGTTTTCTAATCCTATAAATAAGATTTTTCTTTCTAAAGGAGTGACTTAGGAGTTTGTCCTAGAGACGCTATATTATTAGAGAATTTTGTTTAGAGATTTAGGCTTAGTAAAACAGTCCGCTAGCTGTTTGTTAGTAGTAACGAATTCGATACTAATCTTTCCCTAGGCATACTATTCTCTATAGTAGTAGTTTCTAAGGGAAACGTACCTTAACCTCTTAGAATTAGTATAGTCCTTAATAAGGGAAATAGCTAACTAGTTGTCTACCTAGATATAAATCCTATTAACTTCTTCCCTAGTAAGTAGTTGAAGCTTAGTTATTAAATTTCGGAGCTAGCAGATTTCTCTATATACTTCTATTAGAGCAATATACTCTACCTTAGTACTAGAGAGCACGACTTCCTTCTAGAGCTATAATCTCTATATAATTAGAGTATTGTTAAGAAGTATAAGGGCGCCTAATGTTGATCTTAATAATAAAGGGTTACTAGCAAAGTCTGCGTTAGAGTATACCTAAAATTCCAAAGTTTTCTTCTTTCTAAAGACAAGTCCTTTATTAACTGTGCTAGCAATATACCTCTAGAGATGTTTAGCAGCTATAATATGCTTAGGTCCGGGATTCTAAAGGAACCTAGCAAGGTAGTTAACGGTATAGCTAATATCTAGTCTAGTCTAGTTAGCTAGAAACTGCATTTCACCAATTATAGTATTAAACAGCTAGTAGTCCTAACGGTTATAGGGGGTTATAAGAGGCTCGTAAAGCTTCTCAAGTGGATGCTTTATTAGCTTATACTAGTCTAAGCTATGCTTCTAAAGCTTCTCTTTAGTATAGTATATCTAGGAGACAGTAAGGTTTCCCTCCTTGTCTTCCTTTAGATAAAGGCCTAGAAACAGGTTAGACGTAATAATCTTAATTGTATACTTCTTGCGAAGACCTTCAATTAGAGCATCGATCTTTGCCTTAGAGGTTCTAAAGATTTAGAAGTTATCTATATAAAGGAGGATAAGAATACTATTACCTTGCTATAGGTAATAGTTACTCTTTGTCCTACTTAGGCTAAGTTGACGAAGAGTGTCTAAAGCATTATAGTACTAGAGATTAGCGGCCTGCTTAAGGCTATATAATCCTTTTCTAATACGGATAATCCACTTTAGAGGGTGCTTCTTAAACAGGTACGCGCCTTCTAGGGGTCTAATAAAAATCTCTTTATCTAGAGGGGGATTTAAGAAAGCAGTCTCGATATTAACCTGTCTTCGCTTCTAGTTTTTGTTTACTAAAAGCCTAAGGACAAGTCTAGTAGTAGCTGCTCTTAGTATAGGAGCATAGGTATTAATATAGTTAAGACCTTGCTTCTACGTAAAGCCTCTAGCTGTCTATCTTGCCTTGTATTTGTTAATGGAGCCGTCTAGCAGGTATTTAATCTTGAAAACCTATTTTCCTATTAGAGGTGTTCTACCTTTTAGTAGGGATTCGGCTAGAATCTACTCGATTATACTAGACTTTTTAAGAGACCTTATCTCTTTTGTAACGGCTTTTCTCTATTTATCCTAGTTAGGCCTTTTTAGGGCTTTAGCTAGGGTTGTTAGGTTAGCTAGCTTCTAAGTATCTCTTATAGTAGCAGCTATAGCAATCTTAGTAATCTTGCTATAGTTATACTTAGCTACGGCTCTACTAGACCTAAGTCGTACTTCGGCTTAAGGAGGGTTTAGCTAAGGTAGGTTAGGAGCCCTCTTTCTCTTGCTAGTAGTCTTAGGGACTTAGAAGGGAGTGATTAGGGTATCTTCTAGTTTAGCAGTATCTGTTTCTTAAGTGTACTAATTTTTCTTAGGAGCAGCTTCCTACTAAGTAGCTAGTAGTTCTAGTTAGTGATTTTAGAGTGTTGGCTTATTAGCTATAGGTATTAGCTAAGGTAGTGTTCCTTACTTAAGTGTACCTTGCTCCCCCTAAGCTGTAAGGGAGTCTTCCTAATTTTCCTAATTATAAGCCTGCTAAGGCTAAGGGATGCTACCTCTAAATAGCTCCCCCTAAGGTTCTAAAGAGTGCTAAGGTGTTTAGTTATTACTAGGGAATAGTGCTAGGATTCCTAACTTAAATGAAAGGTCAGACTAGGTTTTAAGTACCTAAATAGTCTCCTAAGGGACAGCTAGTCTTAAATACTCCCCCTAAGCTTGAAGGGTACTTAGAAGCTTAGTAAAATTGTCTTTATAGACAAAGTCCTCGTTAAAGGTAACGTATAGAGAGAATCTGATATTATGCTGCTATACGCTATCCTTCTAGTACGGGTTCTAAAGCAGATAGTTTGTTAATGAATTTTCTTAGAATCTAATAAACTAGTAAACGAAAGCTCTTAGTGTAAATTTCTAGGAGTTAAGTCGTTCAACTCCGGATTCGAGGTATTTGAATACCTTGTAGCTAAATCGTCTCGTCTTAGACAGGTTAATGTCTATACTACCGATATTTAAGTCTAATTCGAAAGCCTTAAGTAGAACTTCCTTAGTTCTCAAGTTTACTAGTCTATTAGTTAGGTAAATCGAATGTATTACTACAAAGCACTAGTAGTATATTAGTAGGCTAGAGTCAATTATTATTACCCTTGCCTTAAGCAGAATCGTCTTATTAGACGACTCTGCAATGCTGTTCTGCTCCGGTGTATATAGTATAGATATATCCTATCTAATACTAACTTCCTCTGTAAAATATACTAGATCGTTGTTAGTAAACTCTCCCCCGCTATTACTAAAGATAATCTTAGGGATTTTGTTGTATTGCCTCTTGATTCTAGTTATCTAGTTAGTTAGCTTGTTACTACTTATTACCTTATCTTTGCTTCGAAGCAATAGACCCTACCTAAGCCTAGTTTTAGTATTAGTTAGGATTATAATATACCTGTTTCTAAATAGATTAAATAGTTGTACGCTAACAAGGTTAATATAGACTTCGTTAAGGGCTTTTTCTAGTCTAGTTCTGTGTTCTTTTAATACAACTCTTTAAGCTCTCGAGAGCTTGTAGGTCTTATAGTGCTCGAGTTTAGATATATCAACTTCTTCTAGGCCTAGAATAGCTTCCTTAGTAGCTGTTAGGATCTTGTTGCCGACGTAGCTAAGTCTCTAATGCTATCTTAATGTGTCCGCTCGTAGTCTAGCGATAGCTAGGGCTAATAGCTGCCCTTTCTGACTCGATTCTAAGTTTGGTTTTAAAGCTAAGCCTAGCATTTTGACTCTAGTATCTTTAAGGGTAAGTACTCCTTATACTTCCTCAACCTTTCTAATTAGCTTGCCTTTAAGCATTAAAGTGCCTAAAGGTCTATCTAAGTAAATGCTACATTTCTTCTAAAGACGCTCTACTAAGATTAGGTTGCAATCTAAGTTCGGGGAGTAGAGGACATCTATTAGAGTAATTAGGGTTTTCTTTCCTTTATAGGTTAGGAAGATGTTAATAGTTCCTAATCGTAATACACTTGATTTTCCTACTGCTTAGGAGAACTAAATAGGCTTAGTTAGGTGCTTAAGATCGCTAAACTAGCTCTTATTCCCTATAATGTATAGTAATGTACCTATATCCTAAACTTTTGTGTTAGCTATTAGGTTCTTAGAGCTTGCTATAGCTAGTCCCGGCTTTGCAATAGCTCCCCTAATTAGGCCCCTACTAAGGCCGTCTAGCTAATAGTCTCCCTTATCTTCCGAGTTAGAGGAGGAGTCTAATTCATCTTTGTTATTGTTAATAGTACTACTAGATTTGCCCTTTCCTTTACCTTTACCCTTCTTACCTTTGTCTTTATCTTTGTCTTTGCTCTTGTCTTTCTTTCCCTAACTAGGTAGTACTATATTAGGGTATTACTTGTAGCACTTAGCGTTAGTGTGTTTGTGCTTACACTAAGTGTACTAGTCGTTATTATTGCTAATAGCCCCTCTAACAAGCTTTAAGCCGCTAGATAACTATCTAGGAGGCTTTTCTCTCCTTAGGGACGTTATTATTGCTTTAAGGGAGGAGTCCTTGGCTTTAGGCTTATTATTGTACTTCTAGGATCTAAGCTATTCGTAACTAGAAAGGCCCTAAATAAACAGCATCCTAATAAGCATATTAGGCATCTTAATGTCTAATAACTTTATAGGCGCTTCTATTATTGTAACTAAGCTAGCAAATTATTCTGTCGATGTTTAGAATCTATTAAACTACTGCTAAAAAGATTCGCAGTACTGCTAGGTGTTCGGATTAGTAAGGGGCATCCTAATGTGCCTAATGAGTTTGATAGTATCAAATATGTCTACGGTTACAATAGGCTTGTATAGAGCCTTAATATAGTCGTATGTATCCTTAGCTGACTTAGGTGTATTACCGAAGTCTAGTCTAAGGGCAGGGTCGAGTCTAGTAATAAGTATACCTAGGGCTTAGATGTCTTTCTTCTTCTAGTCCCTAAATATGTCTCTATACTGCTAATCGGCTAAGTCCCCTACAAATATGCTTTTTAGAGGTGGTTTTGTTTTATTAGCCTAGTTAAGTCTATAGAATACTATACTAACTAGGTCCTTTTCTAGAAGGGCCGCCTAGAATACAAGCTTCTAGTCTTAGAAGTTGATCCCCTTCCTAAGAACCTAATTCTCCTTTGCTGTCTTTGTCTAATTAGTGTCTGTCGTTCCTAGCTGCCTTTTGGTATAGTGCTAGGTAGGGCTTATAAGGGACACTTGCTAGGTTTTAGTCCGAACTAGAGCTCTTAACTAGGTACCTAATAGGTCTAGATAGCTAGCTCTGTTTAGTAGACTCTAGAAACAGTTCTTTTATAGTTGAACTAGACAGGTAAGCGTATACGCCGGGCTTATAACCTATTGTAAATCGTGCTAAGGATGTAACTAATTATCGGATTAACAACTATATAACTATACAAAGAAGGATTAGGAGCCAGCTATAGAAACTGTAGTTAATATACCTATTGTGTATCCTTCCTCTTAGCATAGGTTAGCTAATAGTATCAGCTGACCAGCATATCACCTGACTGAACCACAACATTCTAAGCGCTTTCTTTAGATCGGCCTCTACTTCGTTCTTATCTACTACGCGATCGAGCTTGTCTAACCGGGCACGAAGATTGGCTGTAGTATCTATCGTGGCATTCAATCTGGCGTTGAGATCGTGGACCCGGTTTTTTCCACGGCCCATAACCTGTCCCAGGACCTTCTCACAGGCAATTTCCTTTCTGAGAGTCTTGATTTCGGCTCGATTCTTTTCTAGTTCTGCAAGAACCTTGGTCTTTCGATGTTGGGTGGTGATAAGGTCAGCTTGAAGGTTGCGTTTTGGTTCTAGCGGCGGTGCATGCGTCTTCTGCGATAGATGGTTAGCTGAAATGGCTACTGGCGAATAGAAGGGATTGCTTACCTTCTTAGAATTGTCTAGCACGTTGCTCTTGAACACTACTTCTTGCTCGTCCTTCCGATGAGTCAGTATGTGTTATCCAAATCGATCGGACCATAGTGTTTACGTACATCGGAATCGTCTTCAGTAAGTGACGAAGCAGCGAACGAAATTGTTGAGCAACTCTTGGGTGCGGTCGAGGTCAAATTGCCAATGTTGGCGCGAGCTTGAACCTTCTGTTGCTGCTTTCGTACAGCAGTCGTTTCACGTGATAACCTAGGCGCATCCCCACCAGCAATGTGCTCCCAGACCGCGACCATCCAGTTGTCCCATGCCTTCTTTTGATCAGAGCCCTGAGACCAGCGGCTCCTGCCCGCTTCGCTCCAGAAGATGTCGTGAAGAGATGGAGTGAAGTATACCAGGTTCGAGTGTCCTGGCTCCGAGCGGACAAGCTTGCCCTCTTTATTGGTAACCACATGAAGCACTTTGATCAGGTTTCGCTGGAGCTGAGCGTTCCAGTAGGGCATAATGAAAATGCCAAGGCTGGCTTCACCTGCCATGGGTGGGCCAACTTGGACCAAATACCGTGGCAAACGCGGTTGAAGCTCTGAGTGCCGCGCCGCATCGAGCACTTTACACTCTGGTGGAACAATGGCGAAATCTCGGCGGGCTATTCTGTCCGAGTCGTCGTTCGGAGTCTCATCTTTCTTGCTCTTCTTGCAGGTGTCTCTATTGAGCGCTTCTGGAGAGTCGTCTCCATCTTGAGAATGGAGGCGCTTCATCTCTTGTGCCCTATCGCTTTGAAATCGACGGATGCTGTGGGAAGAAGCAAAGGGCGGCTATTATGAAGCTAGGAAGAGTTTTCAACACGGTTGTTTTGCAATGAAAGAACAAGGTTCAAATAAGTGTGGGGGCGCGAAGTGATAGCAGAAGTGAAGTGGGCTTCAAGGAATAGTCAGTGCTTCGCCATCTCACTCACTACTTGCATTTCGCGCTGTTCTGTGCTGGCCGTTGCGTGGTTATCTCTTCGACTCTACTCTCAAGAGGTTGAATTGGAGAGGTCATGGGAATCTTAGCACGGTGCTCGCGGGATGAAGAGCCGAAGGTGTGTTGTTACACATGGCGAAGTGATCTCAGCCGCTTGCAGCATCGAGAATGCCAGGCTTTCTTTCCAGCAGGCGTGTGCCGAAAACACAAATAGCACCTTTCGCGCATTGTTAGTAAGAAATAACCCTACCTGATGAAGGACGCTCACAATCACCAGGCTCCTGGCCGTAGCAGTGGAAGGTGGTCGTGGGCCCATCGGCACCTTCGAAAACCATTACTCGACTCGACAGTGTTGGAGGCCCTGCCGTGCAGTCAAAACTTGAGGCACTCCGTCTTTCTAGCCATATCTTGCTCTCAACGACTTACCATCAGCATGTGTGATGCGATGATACGGTCCCCCATTCTGATCCATGTTTCCAGCGAGCTTGCCTACATAGTCCGCAGTGGCAAGACATTGCTTGCCTGAACTCACAATCTCATGAATCGCAAAATTCCAACAAGGTCAGCGCAACCACTTCCACAGGTCCATCCTGGCAGGCGCCTTTGGTTCAACAACACTCCGCCCCTGTTCACGAAGTTCCAGAGTCCAGTCAGCCGGAAGCGGACCATAATTGAAGCCAGAAATCTTGATACGCATGCTTCTGGTTGAGACCTGCAGAGGAGGACCAGATTCCCAAATTGCATTTTCCCTCCGACCGTATGCATTCAGGTCAAATTTGAGTCTTCTGAGCAATTGCGTCCACAGAATTGGCGCACCGACCAATTCCTCCATCGACGACGCGCTTCTCAAAAGAGCCATGAACGGCGTGAATCCCTGCTCGCACTGGTGATGTAGTTTAGCACCGGCAGTAATTGCAGCTTTGAACATCTTGTACCAGTCCTTTCCGACGCGAAGTCGTCTGACGTTCATGAGATGTAGGAAGCTGTCGCCCTTTCCTGTAACGACATTTGCCAAATCCTGGTGGAAACTGGAAAGTGCACAAGCCTCGAGAAATGTTTTGACGAAGAACGGTCCACGCTCTTCTCCCCGACTTATCTGGCAGGCATGGTGGAATCTTACTTGTAGAGGCAATGCAGGGAGTTCTCCTAAAATCATGCGTAAACACTCCAGGTCCTCGCAGCGAGACCAGAAGGAGGGAGATTCATGTTGCGTGTCGGTCAATTCAGAGTAGTCCAGAAAGCCGCTCGCCACAAGAGCTTGCATGATTTTGCGCATCCGTGCTAAGCCATCATCGTCATCGCTTTGGTAGAAATACCACCAGCACAAATCTGGCACTAAGAAGCCCTCAACTCCACCGCCTAGGCCAAGAAAGAAGCGACAAAGTTTTTCGTGACGGTAATGAAGAGCGTACTGCCAAGTGCGTCAGTACTGGCTACGTCAAGGTATGGTGGCTGGATGCTTACGTGGAATGGCATATAGCCCGTGACATTTTGAATATCGTACATCGAAGCTGCACAGGTCGAGAAAAGCTCCCGCACGCGGTCCAAGTCGCCTCTCTTGCAGTGTTTAAAAATTGGGGCGCTCTCATCCACAATTCTGAACGTCCTCAAGCTCATTCTCCAACCTTCAATGTCACGCGTGATTGAAATGTGCCAGGTTAGTGATGCGAACAATGGTCGCAGACTTATCACGTGTCTCGAACTTTTGCTTCGTCTAGTCCGCGAAACGCTGTGTGGGGCCTCCCAGAACTGCCACGCTGTGCTTGTATGCCCATTGGTGTAAGGTGGAGAGTATCTGTGTCTTTCATGGCTTGTGAATGCCTGCATGATCTGCAACACTTGGTCTTGGACAAGTAAACTGCGTTCAGTGGCAAGATCCCATTGCTGGCTCTGAGATAAACCATGGTCCGAGTGGCCGTTCGGCACGTGGAAATCTGAAGCGTCTCTGTCATCGTAATTGCCACGAGCCGGTATCATGGACTCATGTAGAAATTCTCCTGCCTCTTGTTGTGTGGTCCTGAGCTGGACGGTGGGTATGTGGTGAGTGAATGAGCGATGAGAAGTTCCGTGTGTCGACGCGACAAGCGGCCTAAAGGGCAATAAGTATGAGTAGAGCGATGTCACAGGAGTGATATCGTCAGCAGACACGATGCAGTCAAAGAATTGATCGATGTCTGAATCGGCCTCAGATTCGTAAAATGTTGCCCTTCCATGGTGCTGCAAGGTGACTTCTTGTATGTAAGCCAGGTCAGATGTTACTGTGTGCACTGGGCCATGGAAATGAAGATGCACGTTGCCGTTGAGCTGGAATGCGTGTCCACTAGCCAGGTTGTGGGAGTAGATGGTCTCCGTCCTGAGGTCACTCAAGACTGGCGTGAGCTGGCCGCTGAGGTCTTCACGTCGTACTCCCACACATGGTAGGCGACGGCGCACTGTCGTCGGCGACTGGACGCTCTCCATTCATTCGTCGTCCAGGATCTAGTGTCAGCCTCGACAACGGCCTGCTGATCGCATCGGGCTCCACTTGTTGTCTATCGCGCGAGGAATGAGCATGGTAGCTGAACAGGCTTTGATATTGCACCCAAGGCGTAGATGCCTGACAACGAATGCATGCCAATGCTCGCTTATAGAACTAAGTCGGGCAGCGTCAAGGCCATACTCTTTGGCATGAAGCTATTCGTATCAGCCAAGACAGGCAAGACAATAGAACTGGGCAGTGACGACAGGGAGAACAGTATTGTCGCCAGAAAGATTCACTACTGGATGATATTCTGTTTGAAGCAGAAGAGAGCAAAGCAAAGCGTGTTGCTTCACTTCACCTCTCAGCTTCGCTCGGAGGCACGGGCCACCTCGGAACCGGATCATGACGTGAGTTTTCGGACCAGCTGTCCATTGCCGAACATGTGAGAGTGAGGCCAGCGCACCTCAGGCACGAGCACCCTCATACCAACGAACACATCGCCTCACACCCACCCGACCTCTTCACTGACGGCCGCGGATATGGACCCAATAATCCTACGAACGCCACGCGATCCATCATAGACTATCGACGATACCACGACCGAAATGCGCCTCGCATATTATGCTGGCGCCTCCACGGCCGCGGCGGCAGCATGTCTGCTCAAGGCCTTCCATCAACGACCGAACTTCTATAGCGCCACCGTATATCTCTCACAATCCAACGCCTGCCTCCTAGTCCTGACCAACCTACTGCTGATCTTGTCCTGCGCCTTTCTTTATGCTCTGCAGCGCGTGCTGTATGGCCGTCTGAGACCGATCGAGATCGAACAGCTGAGCGAGAAAGCATGGTACGCAGTGCTAGACACCCTTCTGGCGATGCCCAGCTTCCGAGAGGACGTAGGTGGGCACTTGCTGTTCATGTTCGTGCTGTTACTCGCAGGCAAGGTCTGGGGATGGATCGGCGAGGGCAGGGTGGATGTGCTGGAGCAAGGACAGTTGCCCACCGGCGGAAACGCTGCGAGATTGTTCCATGGACGGCTTGCAACAAGTCTGATTATCAGCGTGTTGTTCAGCTTCGGAATGCTGAAATATTGCGTCGATACAGTGGTGGAGGATCCACGACCCGGCATGATGGTTATTTTCACATTTGAGTTTGCCATACAGTGCATCTTCAGCACATTCACGCTTGCGAGATACGGCCTGAGTCTGGTGGAAATGAGTGTCGTGAAGAAGCAGACCGTGGCGGCGATAGAGGCAAGAAAGAGCGAGATCAAGGCCGAGCGAGAAGCAGCGAAAGCACTCGCAAGGCAGGAAGGAAGAGAAGAACCAACATTTGAAGACGGAATTGATGTTGACGAGAATGAGGTCGATGCTCCTGGCTGGGAAGAGAAGCGACGCTGGTTATTCGGCTTGGAACTCTTCACGGACCTGATCAAGCTCGTGATATACGTCCTCTTCTTCACTGTCAGCATCACTTTCAATGGCCTACCGATGCATATCATGAGAGATGTCTACATGACATTTGCATCTTTCAGCAAGAGAATCACCGACTACGTGGCATATCGCAAGGCCACCACAGAAATGAACACCCGCTACCCAGATGCAACAACCGAAGAGATCAGAGGAGACTCTTGTATCGTGTGCAGAGAGGAAATGGTCGCATGGGCAGAAGGTGAACCTCAAGCACCACCTCAGCCTCAAGCCAACCCTCAGCCGGATGCTCAGGCGCCAGCTGCACCACAACCTGCACCGGCATCAGCAGCGGCACCACAACCTGCAGCCGCACCCGTTGCTGTGCCTGTACGGAGACGAGATGAAGGCCTCCGAGCAAAGAAGCTCCCGTGTGGCCACATTCTCCATCTCAGATGTCTCAAGGCTTGGCTGGAAAGACAACAAGTCTGCCCGACGTGCCGGCGACCTGTTGTCACTGCGACACCTCCTGTCAACAATGGTGCCGCTGGAGCAAATCCACAAGCTCCCGGTCAGCCAGGGCAGCCTGGTCAGCATCCACCACAACAGCGACCACGCGGCAGAGTCTTCAACCTTGGCCCACTGCGCATTGGCTTAGTCAATGCTCCTCAAGGCCAGGTACAGAACATTCTCAACCAAATTCAGCACCCAGAAGCTGCTGCCAATCAGGTCAATGCAGCTCAACCGCCCACAGCCGACGCTACTGGCAGTGGAGTTGCTACGACTAGAATTCAGGGCACTGGTGCTACCTCATCAGTACCGATTCACATACAGCTTATGCAGAGGGAGCAAAGGATGATGCGAGACGCCCACAACTTGGCCCTCGACCAACAAGCATACGTAAACTTGCGAGCAATGGAGGCTGAGTTGGCACGGCTTCGAGCTTTGCGAGTACCTGAACAGCAGCCTGTCGGAATCACAGCGCAACAACCTCCACTGCAGCAATTTATGCCGCACTTGCCTTTTCAGCAGATGGGCATGGGTTTCCCACAGCCATTCTTTCAGCCTCCTCCTCCTACGATTACGGATCAGCTAAATGGTAGTAACGCCGAGCAGATAGCATCTGGATCGGAGCAATTGCCAGAGGGACTGGTTCTCCCAGAAGGCTGGACGCTCATGCCGCTTCACAGACTCGGTGAACAGCAGGATGCAGCGCAGCAGGAGCAGCCTAATCCCACATCTACATCAACACAACAGCATGAGGCAAACACCAATGCTACGACATCAATCACCAATGCACCTCTGTCCGCAGATCCTTTAACTGCTGCAACACAAGCTGCCGAAGCTACTGCTCCATCTGTTGAGCAAGCAGGCACTGGAGCTCATGGTCCCACAGACGAACGAGGATCACCGCTCTTTGTGCCTGCGCAGCCATCAGCTACTGTACCAGCAGGCGCACAGACTTCTCGGACAGACACAACACAGCAAGCGGCACGAACGCTGGCGGATCAACCGCCTTCATCCGAACAGCCAACACCATCACATCCTACAGCACCGTCATCCTGGGGAGGCGATAGCTGGTCGTTTGTCGACCAGCCCGAACAGAGCACGGAATCTACTGCTCCATCTAACGGCCATCTTCCACAGCATACCGAGGAACACGCTAGCCAGAATGGCAGCTACAGCGGCAAAGGTAAAGGCCGGGCCGTAGAAGTTGAGGATGTGCCGGATCCGGAGTCTTAGTTGGAAGCAGCGACGGCATGGAAGTTTATAGATTACATTAACTTCATTGGAGCATAGAGAAGAACGGAACTTGGTACCAAATCATAGAGCATGATGGATATGAAGGGAGGATTTTTTTCCGTTCCGTAAGTTGAAAGGCCATCACAGCCGTCCTTCCATTCGTCACTTCACAGATTAAGATTCTTATACGCCCTTTCTCAGGCATGTCAACGTCTTCATAATCTGAAAATCCCTGCTTTGCAGTTGTATAGTAATACATCGCCTGGTAGGTCTTTATTACTTGGCTTATGAGATCTAGAGATGCCAACAGAATACGGCAGTGCCCGTACAAGACAATCAGCTCAATGCTGATGCGTCCATTGTTGAGATAGTGCGGATGGCGGGAGAGCTTATACTCGCCATTTCATTACGTTCTGACATGTTCCCAGGGAAGACAACAACCAAGAATTTACCGTCCTCAACTCAGGTCCTGATACTGTACCACACGAACCCGCACGAATTCAAATCGGACACCAAGTGGATCTTCAGCTGGATCTGCCGCAGCGTCATTCGATCCCGGTACCTCATCAAGTACGGTAAGGCACTCGACCACGCGTTCGTCTCCAAGCAAAGACTGGTGTTGCCATCAAGAAATCACTCTCTACAACGCCATCACCCTATGGAAATCAGCAGAAAGCAATCTCTCGGTAATTCGCACTTGTCTCCGCGTCATGCATGGCCGGTTCCTTCCAACGAGCTTGGAAGCAAGGTATGAGTATGAGTAACTTGAGCACCAGTAGGAGTGGGAGCATTCCGAGGGCGAGACTCAATGAGTCAGTCTGATGACTTGCATGGATCAATTCGATTGGATTCCTTAGATGTCGAAGGAATCCATCGAGAGATCTTGAGGAATTAGGGTGTTCATGGAAGCAGAAAGTGAGAGAGTTTGAAGTGTTTCGATGTGTTCTGTTCAATGACTTCACGCAGGAAGATCGGGTAATTGGATTGTGCCAAAAAAAAGGGAATGAGATGTATGAAAACATAAATACCACTGACGTTTTGCAATTTTGTCGCAGTATGTCAACAACACTATGCATATGCACGATGGTTGTGACTACTGCAAGAAACTCGGGCAATGGAAACTTCTAATTAAATGATGATTTAAAGTTTCATTCGATGGTGACTCTATCTCTATCTCCCATGCCACGCAATGCATGCAACGAAACAAATGGGTATTGTGGGTATCCATCCATCGCTAAGACTCCATCCCTCCCTATCTCCAACTCAAAGAGAACGCCCCCGAAAACTCCATTTCTTCCATCATCTAGCAAGGGTAGTAACCACCTTGATAGAGCTTCCTGCTCACATGCGAAGAGACAGATGCTGATCGAGAAGCTTGTGTGGAGGCAGCTGGTGTGCTAGCCTTTGATGTAGCACGAGACTGGCGCTCCTCCTTGCTGGCTTTGTCGGAGGCGCTGGTCTTGTTGTGGGAGAAGATGGCCTTGAGTGTGTCGGCGAACTTGGCGCCTGGGAGGTCCTCGACCGTGTTGTACTGGCTTCCGTAAAGCATTTTGTTGGTTGGTGGTGGTTGGTTTGAAGTGGTGGAGTTGAAGAGTGGCGAAAGCTGATTGATGTGTTTGGCTTTGAAGCTGATGCTTTTGCTTTGAAGAAGTTGTGTTATGCTGTGATGAGGATTGTATCAGCGCAAGAGAAGAAGTCTTATATCCTACCTCACGGCTATGAGAACATGAGTGCTACCGAGGCAGAGTATGCTCATACCGGCATTCCTAATGTCAACTTGTTGGTGAACACAGTCGGAGTCGGTTTTTTCTCTGCCACCGTCCGCAGGCATCGAATTTTCGTGAATGCTCACGGGCTGAAATTGTGTTGCCTGCCACTAAGGCCAATAAAGGTGTTCACCTGCATAAGATCGTCAGAATGCCACTGCCGAGGCCGACGGCACATTGACGGGACGGCGCCATGGACTCAGACAGCAGCATTTCATTGGAGCACAGTATCTTTGGGAAGCCTCTGACATTATTTCCGTGCGCTTATTCCTGAGGCTCAAGTCAATGCCGGCTGAATTCGGGTTGCGGCTTTCTTTCGGGCATGTGAGAAATTTTAGGCACTCGAATTCGCCCAACAACTTTGAGCCGAGGTCAAGTTCGACAGCTTGTTCCTGAATGCTCTGCCACATGGAGAATCGCCTCTGACCGTGTCCGAGCAGCTGTTCGGAAATAGAACAGGGACTGTCCATGTGTCATGTCGTGTGGCGCCATTTGGAATGCGCATGCCAGATGCGGTAGGCCGGAAGACTATGCTCGCTGCAGGGGCACGACTATTCGTAAATCAGCTCCGGCTATTCATAAATCAACGGACCTAGGGCCGCTCCGGTCTCGGTGAGACCACATTGTTAGTAATCCACATAGAACAACATCGCATAAAGACCTGTAATGCCTATGCTAGCTGCTCAGTAGAATAATGACGTAGGAAAGAAGAATTGAGTAAATAGACGTAGAATTCGACCCTACAGCTGATCCTAACTGTTCTAGGCATACTGCCTGCCTAGCAAATGAGGTTCTACGACCCTCGCATCAACGTATAGTTCCTGCTATACAATCTCAGTGTAATCTGGTATACCTGCTAGCGCCGTAGATACTAGTAGAGCCCTCGGAGCGGGCGGAGGTCCTTCCTAAGTAGGTGAATAAGTGGATACAGGGTTTCTATCGCACTGCCTATGCTTGTAATAGCCAGAGTGGCAGTCTACGTTATCTTTAACGCACTTGCACCTCCTGCAGGCCGTTTTGCATGTGCAGCCCTAGAATGGCGACAGTAAGGTGTGTATAATAGCGACGGTGAGGTGGAAAACAGCTATCTAGCGGTGGAGGACATAACTAACAAATTTGCCTTAGGCCTCCTCCGCGATCGGACGACTGATTTATGAATAGCCGGAGCTGATTTACGAATAGTCGCGCCCTCGCTGCAGTTGCCCTCGCTCGTCGAGTGCGCAGTCTGTTCCGATTGCGGTCAATCATCCCATGGCCACAGGTGCTCCCATACAGCGCGTTCTGCATCTGTGTTTGCCAGCTCTTTAATGATATCCTCCTTGTAGTGACGAAGTGCCTCCTTCGTCGCGTGGTAATTCTCTGCCTTCACGCACCCACGCACTGGGAAGAGGTGACCTGCAAGCGCCTTGACCTCCTTCATGAGATGCATACCGTATCTCGCTCCCTCGGCATCAGCTTCGACTTCAGCCACGAGCTCTTGCGACAGCGTGAGCCCGGTTTGCTGCATGATTTCGGAATGTTCGCGGAGGTAGTCGAAGACATAGGCTATGTACGTGGCTTCACCATCCACGAGCAGGTTTTTCGCCAACAAGAGAAGCTCGAAAGCCGGTGTCTTCTGGAATTCGAAAGACTTCCACACCTCTTTGTTCGTTTCATGGATCCAGAGTCTATAGGCGACACAAAGAGACTGTTGCATGAACAATTCGCTCGCGGCATTCTGCTCAGCTTTCGAAAGTTCTGCGAAGTCGGCAGGCAGCGTTGGGCGTTCGAGTCCTTCAGCCTCTGGGCCATCATGATCGAGAATGAATGGCTGCCGCGCTTGGAGGAAGAGGGGAGCCACTTCGGTCGATTGCCAGTCAATGATGTCCGTCACTGCTGTAGGGTCGGCGGGGTCAACATAGATGTTCTCAAGATGAAGGTCGCAGTGCCAAGCTGATGCTTTCTGCAGATCAGAATCTGAGGGCATCAGATGCTGCAAGAGCTGGAGGTAATAATCTATAGCTCGGAGCTTCTTCTCTCTTGTCGGTACATACGATCCTGGACCACAAATGGTGACCTGTGTTGGTGGCAGCTTGGGAACTTGCTGCACACAGATCATCTCGCGGCGGCCGACAGCAGTGAGGTATTCTCGAAGGGTTCTCCCTGCGGACTAGTCAGTTTCGGTTTTATTCTTACTGACGGCAATGAACTGCACAGGTCGCCCTTACATGGTCCTCTATCAAATTCGACATGCTGCCGGCCTTCATCGTTCCAATCTCGGCCAGCCGTGGGCCCTATAGCAAGATGTAAATTGTTGACGGAGCCGCCTTGAGGGTTGTCAAGCGGCAGGCGATGCTGCTCGTCGAGATCGCGAGCATAGTATATGCTGCCATAGCCATTGATAGTTGTTGACGACCATTTTGCCTGGAATTCTGCGATGGATCTTGCGACTGCACCACGATGTTGAAGCTGCAGATTCTTCCAGACCGACTTCAATGGCACTCCGCGAGCGACAGCCATGATGATGTACTCGGCACCTACAGGCGTCGATTCGGCACGGCTACACCATGCATATACTTTCGGAATTGGAATTTCCAGGGTGGTGCGCATAAAGTCCATCGTTGCAACCTCGCTGGCCGTTGTGAAGTGTGGCTGACCTGCCACAGGGTATGGTAGCTTGGCGACGACCTGCTTGCCATCGTTCATTGTGAGCAAGACTGCTTTGTTGTGCATGCCTTCCGTAAGTGTCTCCGTCCGAATGCACGACTCTGAGTGGACCGCGGCCGCAGCTACCTTGCCCAGCTCGGCCAGAGCATATTGAATACTTCGAGCTGCCATTTCTTCGGCTTCATTTTGAACGAATCTTCCTCGCGTCCAGCCATAATAGGCGCGTTCCTCGACTGTGGCGGAAGGTGACTCTGGCTGAGGTCGTGATGAACACGTTACATCTTCAACCCTGCAATCTTGATGGCTTGCGCTCATCGACAGCGGCTGTCTGACCCCGGTTGCGATAGTTCTGGTGGCAGTGCGCGGCAGCACTTTCAGACTATGTTTCAGACAGGCATGAAGGTGCCGTGTAGCTCCCAACATTGCCTTTCATTTATTTCATACTCGGATGCTTTGGACCTTTTCTGCGCGCGGTGTTGATGGATCGTGATGATTTGGAGTCAAGTTCGATGGACTACGCCCCAGTTGAAGCGCGCTAAAACGCGGGATCTCGTTTGGCCTGAATCGCAGCCTTAATGGGCTGTCGTGGAGGGCTTTTATGTTTCGCAGAACTCTGCACTGCTTTCATAAGGTTAGTAAATACATATCGCCCCATATTTGAAAAAGGAGTATTGAATGTATTTTGTTTGCTTAGACAAGTCGGTCGCTGGAAACTTTACGATGACCACATGTGTCGTGCACAGAGCCTCAGAGATGGATGTGGCTCTCGTGCATAGAGTCTTGGAGATGGATCTGCTTCGGTGCACAGTGCGAGGCTCTGTCACATGCAGTTGACAGGATTGCACGTGGGCGATGAAGTACATGCTCGCTATTCAAGAGCATTAGCATGGGTGGATTCGAAGACATTGATGTCTACTTCAGCTAGGTTGAAATGAGTAGACGGCTTGGAGATTATCGTTGGAGTGATGGGCGAGTAAAGTCCACTTCATGAAGGAAGTGAGGTGAACCGTGAAAGTCGTAGCGGATGGGATCAGGGATCTCAAGATAAGGTTTGCACTAATCCCAAAACGCGTACACCCTGGTCGATGACGATGCGAGGATGTCGCGTCTACAATTCGAGCTGCCGTCTCACAAAGTCGAAGTAATTGTGTACCATCGCACACAGCAACATCAGATCTCAAGATGTCTCTCAAGCGTAAAGCTGCCGACTTGGCAACACATGCTGTCAAAAAGCCAAAAGCAAATGCCTCAATTACTGCCTTCTTCGGTCAACCAAAACCGAACCCAGAAACATCATCCGCGAATCCATCGAAGCCAGCATCGTCACCAACCGCTCCAGCAACAATTCAGCCCAAGTTCGACAAAGACGCGTGGATCGCCAAACTGAACGATGAACAGAAACAACTCCTCAAGCTCGAAATCGAAACACTCCACGAAAGCTGGCTGGCCGTCCTCAAAGACGAGGTCGTGAGCAAAGAGTTCCTCGACCTCAAGCGATTCCTGAAAAAAGAAGTCGAAACCGGCAAAAAAGTCTTCCCACCAAGCGAAGATGTTTACAGCTGGTATGTATGCTCCCAATCCACATCCCGATATCGTAATCGATTATAATTCCCTAACACATGCTCATCACAGGTCCCGACACACCCCCCTCCCCAACGTCAAAGCCGTAATCCTCGGTCAAGATCCCTACCACAACATCAACCAAGCCCATGGTCTCTGCTTCTCCGTCCGACCACCGACCCCCGCCCCACCCTCTCTGAAAAACATGTACATAGCCCTAAAAAAGGACTATCCAGATTTCTCCCCGCCTGCAAAAAACGGTGGTCTCCTGACACCTTGGGCAGATCGAGGCGTGCTCATGCTCAACACTTGTCTCACGGTCCGCGCACACGAAGCGAATAGTCATGCGAAGAAGGGGTGGGAGAGGTTTACGCAGAAGGTGATTGACTCGGTGGCTAGTAAGAGGACGAAGGGAGTTGTGTTTCTGGCTTGGGGGAAGCCGGCACAGGAGAGGTGTTCGAAGCATGGGAGTTCTGGGAAGCATTTGGTTTTGAAGAGTGTGCATCCTAGTCCTTTGAGTGCGCATAAGGGGTTCTTGGATTGTGGGCATTTTAAGAAGGCGAATGAGTGGTTGGAGGAGAGGTATGGTGACGAGGGGGTCATTGATTGGAATTTGGATGTTAAGCCTGAGGATGCTGGGGTTTGAGTTGCATTGCTCATCACAGGAAGAGAAAGGCATGAGAGCGAAGGTGTTCAGGCGTTGGTCGTTTCTGTTGCTGGAAGAAAAATGTAAAGATCCATGTCCTCAAGGCTGCCGATAAGTTGGAAACTGTAAAAGCGCTATGCAGTTGATAGTCCAATGGTTGTTGTACAATACGTACTGTCATCCCGTCATGATCTCATACTATCTACAACTCCTCGTGTACCAGATCCTCCTCATCATCCGAAAACAACTCCTCAACCGTCTCCTTAGCTTTCTCCTTCGCTTGTTCCGCCTTCTTCTTCGCCGCTTCCAACTTGTCCTTAACAGCCGTAGGCATACCACCCGCAGCAGCACCTCCCTTCCCACCAGGAGCCGGCTGACCACCCATCATAGGTCCCAGACCAGCCATAATACTCTCCAACTTCCCACCCTTCATCGGTCTCTTCTTCATAGCAGCCTCACAAGGCTTAGGCGGAGCCGGTCTGGTTTCATCCCTAACAACATTCCCAACCTCCTGATACTTAGCATTACCGCGAAAAAACTTCACCCAATGCGCAAGCGTCTCCTCAACCTTCTCCAGCGCCTCCTTCTCATCCTGCACCCGTCTCTTCAGCTTCTCCTCCTCCGTAACCTCCCCAAACCTCTCAATCGCCTTAGCCGCCATATTCGCAATCATTTCCTTCGGCATAGCCTCAAGAGCCGCGAGATCGCCCTCATAATCCCCGGAAGCGGCACCTTGCAACATCTCATCCATCCATTTCGGCATAAACATGACTTCCACATCCTCCATCCTCCACGTAAACTGTTCCGCCTCGTCCCAACATTCCGTAACCCAGGCTCGAGTCGCATCTTTGCCGACGAAATGGTTGTAGTGCCCTCTTGGTCCATAGAAAGCCGGGGAAGCCGAGACGTCGAAAATCGTGCCGTTGATGCCGAGATAGATGGGTTTTTCGGGGTCGGTGCCGTCGTAGGCTTTGAGGTCTTCTTCGGTGAGGGAGATTTGGCCGGTGACTTCTTGGGCTTGGGCTCCGAAGGCGGGAGCGGAGGCACGGGGGCGGTTGAGGGCGTTGTCGATCCATGGGTATTTCTCGTTGACCCAGCTTGCGAATGGACCGGGTGGGGAGCGATTGTCGACTTTGTAGTAGAAGATCGAGCCGAGTACGAGAGTGAAGGCGAGGAACATGCCTGCCACGACGAAGATGTTGGGTTCGAGATCGACATCGCTGGATTGTTTTGGTCGCTTTGTTTTAGACTTGTCTTCCTCTTCTGGTTGTCGTGTGGGCTCACAGGCCTTGGGGACTGGTTTGCGAGCGCGGACTTCCGCCATCGTGAATGTGGATTGGAGCTACTAGGTAATGGATTCCGATTTGATGTGGTTACAATGCTCTGGAGAAGGTGATTGTAGGAAACCAGACAGAAACAGAACACCTACATCTATCCACTCAGCGGTTGAGCATTACTGTAGTATTGAAAGGCGTCAGTATTTGAGTTTGGACTTGGAGCTTGTGTTGCCGAGGCTGCCTTGTGCGATCTTCGCGGCCCAGAATCGTGGTGTGAGACACTGACTCCACTTGCAATGGACAGCCTCTCCGTGCCAGGCTTCATTCTCGATACCATGACCATAAAGACAAGTTGAAGAGATGTCTCAAGCATGAGGAGGCGAGCATGGAAACAGCAAGAGCTTGTGTGGAGATGGAGGATGGGCAAGCTGACTTCTGCCACAATCGGTACCTCTGGAGCAAGGACTTCATGCGTCGTGCCTGATTCTCAGTCGACGTAGAATACGGCACTGGAGGCGATCTCAAGAGCATGAGATGTGGAGTCCTCGAAGGATTCAAAAAGAAGATGAGACATACGAGACGACACTATGGGGTATCAATTATGCATTGATGTGCTATACAATCCGTAAATAAACTCGCTCCGCCGCACAACGCGGATGTCAATACCTCGAAATCCTGCAGCTTAGCCCGCTGTTGTCCTTAACCTGGAGTGACACGGTGCGTTTCACGCAATTAGATGAGGCCTGGGTTGGGTCGCTAGCGTGGGCCTGGCTTTGCTTAGACAAGCATGCAGAGCGCCACGCCGATGGCAAGAATCGAGACAGAGACGCCGACGTTGGTAGCCCCGCCTTGGTATGGGACAACGGACTCAGTTGGTACAGGTGTCGTTGGAACAGTCGTGTTTTGCGAAGGGCTGCCGCTGCCGCCGCCAGTGCCAGTGCCAGTGCCAGATGCAATGGTGCTCTGAGTCCAGCCAGGATATGTGGCGTTTGACATCGTGTATGGCGTGGGAAGAGATGTCGTCTGCTGAGAGAAGCTGAAGCTGAAGGTTGGATGTGGCATGGTGAGAGTCGAAGTGACGTGCGAGGTCGATGTCACAGTGACCTGGGACTGAGAGCCTGTCTCAGGCGAGCCGAGTGTGGACGAAACACCGCCAGCATGAGATTCAGAGCCCGTCTGAGGCGAGTCGAGAGTGGACGAAGCACTGGCAGCTGATGATGGATGCGGTGGCAGGTCATACCCATCAGAGCTGGACGGGTACACAGAGCTGACGGTGGGCAGCGACGTGGTGACTGGTCCGCCGACAGTGGAGGTCTCAGTCTGCGTGACCGGGCAAACAGTGGTCGAAGCGTGGACGATGGAGGTGACAAGCGTGACGCTGTTTTCTGGGCAATCGCTGACGGATGGAGCGCAAGCCTCGACTGTAGTCCATTCGGTGGAATAGATGGTGCTCTCAACCAAGGCTTCCTTGATGACGAGGAACGTGTCCCCAGCGGCGCGCTCTGTCATTCAAGTCAGCGGTGCAGTTGGGCCACGGAAGAAGATCTTGGACGAACCTGTAATGGCTGGGGCGGCGGCGGCGGCGGCGGCGGCGGTGGCGGCCAGGGCGCCGAAGGCAGTCATCATGGTTGCGATGCGCTGCATTTTGGGGGTGGTGGTTGAGTCTGTGATATGGCGTCTGCTGGGTTGTATGATGATGAAGCGATGTGGCTTTCGAGAAGAGCAAAGGGGAAGCTTTTCAATTGTTTAGACGAAGGAGCACTGGCCATGTTTACTTGGTGACGACGCGGCGGCCGTTGCGACTGCATGTGAAGCGCGACTTCTGCCGGCGTGAAGGCAGCGGCTGCGGCAACCGCATTGCACATGGCAGGCAGGTTCGTCTCGGCAGTCTCTCAAGGTGCGATCTCGAACCGAAACATCTCTCACTGATCAATGCGACCGAATCGCAGGCTGACGAGGACATTCAAGCAGCGTCTCGAAGCAACCCTTGTGTAGCGCATCAGCCGTGGCATGGCATCTTGGTCTCCCTCCTGGCGCCGCACCTCCTCACTCCTCTGAGATGGATTCATTACGCTCAGGCTGCTCAGACCGTCGAGTCAACCGGTGCGCCAAGTTGTTTGCGTATGGAACTGACAAGACCGGGAGCGTGGTGTGTCAACGAGGATGGCACACTGCAGCTCTCAAATCACAAATCGATCGAACATTTACGAGAAGGCCATGCTGGCAAGGCGAGTCTTGAGAGGGCGAGCCTCACAATGATGCCAGACTGTTCACACTCGGTGGGATTCTTTTGAGATCATGAATCCTCAGCCAAAGATTGAAGGCGTCTCGCAGCGGGGACTGATACACCATTCGCCCAAGTTCTCGCCGCCTGAATTATCGCAACGCTCATGGTCTTGGCCAGGCATAAACGATCATTTCCAATATCGCAGATTACTCTGCCGGAGCTAGCACTTCGCACACGATGTCTATATGGAGATTACACCTTCAGGCATGCAGCGATTCAGCATCGTGGTCTACGTGTTGTGAGTGCTGTCAGCATCTGCAGGCTTGTGATTGCCTCTTGGCACCGCAAATTGCGTCCAGTACGAAGCTATGCCCGTTTCCATCGGCCCAGTCATTGCAAATGTGTATACTCGCATATAACCTGACGGCTGAAAGCTGACTTGCACGCTGAGCATTTTATTGACACTACCTGAACATGGGCTTAATTTTTCCGATCAGAAATACTGCAGGTTATCTTGTCGTCTCGCGAGTACTTCGGGCGTAGCCTTGCCGGCCTGCAGACAATGGTGAAGTCTCACACTCCGGCAAGACATCTCCCATAGGACTTGACCAAAGTACTTTCCGGACGAAGGTGAGGTTATGTTCTGCTTGGCGCTGTCAATGAGCAAGAGCAAGGCTGAGCAGCGAAGGAGGAATGTAAAAGTAGGTAAGCCATATGCCAACGGCCCAACGCCAACGCCAACGCCAACGCCAATGCTCTTGACCAGCCTCAGGGGTACTCGGAGCACGAGACCTTCAAGATCTATCGATAAGCTTGCCCGCAACGTTGACATGATGAATTCATAGACATAGATGTGAGATGTATGCAAATCCTGAGTTGTCAAAACGTGTAAGATTCTGCCCAATTTTTCAAGAACAGATATGCCGTCCGGCGAAGCGAGTGGTGATTTTTGAAGTATATCAGGTCCGTGCCTCTACCTGGGGTAACTATACCCTCTCTACTTCCTCTGCAACTTGTGGTATAGCTCCTCCAGGCTAGTCGGCGCACGAGTAAGGATACGCTTTACTCGATAGCCAAGTCCTTAGGCCTAACGATATACAACAAGTAGCCTGTTGTTGGATATCCTACATGTTTCAAGCCCCGCACGGACTTGACCCGCTTCAAAAATCACCGCGACTCAGGCGTTACGTTCCCTGTGGCGCGGCTGCGTCGCTTGCTCAAGGCGCAAGCCGGACAGATGGCGCTTGTTTGCAAGGAAATATTCCGAAATGCAGATCTGACACTGTGAGGCCAGTTGTCGTCCCGACCATGAAGAGAAAATACGAAGGATGAGCTTCCTGAGCACGATGAATGGGAGTGCTAGTTGTTATCGGACCTGAGACAGGGGTCAGGGAAAGCATATTCAATTACCATGATGCCCGCAGAGCGCAGGAAGTGAGGACTCGATCACTCGAAGCTGCCGCCAAGATTTCGACATAGGAGGAACGCATTGATGAGGGCGGAGGGTGTGCACAAGACATGGCAGCGTTTCCGTGTGGATTCATATGGTAGATCTAGCATTGTCGAGTGAGGCACCCAACAACCAACGGATCGAATTGCACATGCTGGACAAGGTTCTATTTGTGAAGCGTGAAGCCGCGCTAAAGTGGACCCTGGAACCCTTCGAGTGAACACGTTGCTCCTCCTTCTTTCCAAGAGCTCGATTTCCAATTCTGGCGGTGCAAGGTTGCTATAACGCACACTTGGCCGGATCCTGCGTGTGGATGCACTAATATATTCTCCATCCACCACCAATCCGCGACTTTCCTGCAACCAACATCGACGCTACAACAACCACCACAGCTCGACCCCTCCACACCCTCCACACATACCTCGAGTCGCCATAGTCCAACACTCCTTGATACTGACCACAGAATGAAATACTCGCTGGGTCTAGCGGGTCTAGCTGCCCTGGCGGCGGCCTCATCGGATGTTCACGACCTCACCAAGGATACCTTCAAGACATTCGTCACCGAAAATGAACTCGTCCTGGCAGAATGTAAGTGTTCCATCATTTGCAGGAGATTGAAATGTCGAGGGGCAAATCGCTGACTTCTGCGCATAGTCTTTGCACCGTGGTGCGGACACTGCAAGGCCCTGGCACCAGAATACGAAGAAGCTGCCACTGCGCTCAAAGAGAAGGGCATCGTGCTCGCGAAGGTCGACTGCACGGAACAGCAGGATCTCTGCCAGGAATACGGTGTCGAAGGATACCCAACTCTCAAGGTCTTCCGTGGACCAGAGAACCCACATCCATACTCTGGCGCCCGCAAGGCTGATGCCATCACCTCATTCATGACCAAGCAGTCTCTTCCTGCTGTGTCGCTTCTGCAAACCGCGGAGGCTCTCGAGGAGTTCAAGACCGCCGACAAGGTCGTCCTCGTGGCCTACCACGCCGCCGACGACAAGTCATCCAACGCCACATTCACAGAAGTCGCGGAGTCTCTTCGCGATACCTATCTCTTCGGCGCTACATCAGATGCCGCTCTTGCGGAGGCTGAGGGCGTCAAGCAACCCGCAATTGTTCTCTACAAGACATACGACGAGGGCAAGGTTGTCTTCCAGGATAGTCGCGCTAAGGAGAAGATTTCGGAATGGATCAAGACCGCTGCTACTCCTTTGATCGGCGAGGTCGGCCCAGACACATACGCTGATTACATGGCTGTAAGTGACTACATTTATCTATCCAAGATTTGGCCAACTGACTTGTTTTTAGGCCGGAATCCCACTCGCATACATCTTCGCTGAGACCGCTGAGGAGCGCGAAGGGCTCTCCAAGACTCTCAAGCCAATCGCCGAGAAGTTCAAGGGCAAGGTTAACCTCGCTGTCATCGACGCCTCCCAATTCGGCCAGCACGCTGGCAACCTCAACCTCGAAGTTGGCAAGTGGCCAGCTTTCGCCATCCAGGACACCACCAAGAACCTCAAGTTCCCGTTCTCTGAGGCCGGTGACATCAAGGACATTAGTGAGAAGAAGATCGGCAAGTTCATCGCAGACTTTGTCGCTGGCAAGCTTGAGCCAAGCATCAAGAGCGAGCCGATTCCAGAGAAGCAGGACGGACCAGTCACAATCGTCGTCGCCAAGAACTACCAGGAGGTTGTCATTGATAACGACAAGGACGTTCTCCTCGAATTCTACGCACCATGGTGTGGTCACTGCAAGGCTCTTGCTCCCAAGTACGACGAGCTTGCCGGTCTCTACAAGGATTACGCCGACAAGGTCATTATCGCGAAGGTTGACGCTACCGCCAACGATGTTCCAGACGAGGTCCAAGGCTTTCCAACCATCAAGCTCTTCAAGGCCGGTGCCAAGGATGCGCCAATCGACTACGACGGCGCCCGCACTATTGAGGACCTTGCTAACTTCATCCGCGACAATGGAGCTCACAAGATTGATGCCTACGTCGAGCCAGAGCCAGTCGCTGAGACCGAGACTGCCGAGACCGAGGGCATGCCAGAGCAGGCTCCTGCCGCCACTGAGAAGGCCAAGGAAGACACCAAGGAGAAGGCCAAGGAAGACACCAAGGAGAAGGCCAAGGAAGGCGTCAAGGAGAAGGTCAAGCAGGCTGCAGAGGCAGTCAAGCAGGCCGTCATCGAGGATGATGAGGTCGCTGATCACGACGAGTTGTAATAATCTTTTTGGCTATGATGGTGGGAGGACCTCGTCATCTAGGGGTGATCTAGACCAGTAGGACCTGTATGAGTTACGTGTGTTTCCTCTATTCAGCCCTTGTTGAGCGCTTTTCTTTCACCTGAATTTCCTCACGTGTTCCATCAATCATTGAGCGATAGCATGTCTGCAGCATTCACCTTGCACCCGGCCCCGCTCCTCTCAGATCTGGCCGTCTGCTCTCGTCTGCTCACAAATGACCTGCTGAGGCACAGTGCTTGCGAAGTGCTGGTCCCGTCAGTCTTCACATCTAAGGATGTATGCACCTCCACGCCATGCCCTAACTCTCCATCCTCGAAAATCTCAACACAATCACAAGACTTCATTCAGCCTTCTCACCAACCATGCCACCCACCATCCTCCTCTCCTCAACACTAAAACAAGCAGTGCCTTGCTTCAAAGCAGAAATCAGTAAAGGGACACTCTTCTCCTGATGAAAATCTCCGGCACTTCTCAATTTGTCCAGGTCATTGGCGAATTCTCGGGTTGCTTGGCGAAGGTAGAAGGCTTGGAAGGAGTCTTCTGGATCTTGGGCAACGACAACTTTCTTTTGGGTTGAGTCGGGGTCACAGCTTTGGGGGGTGGTTCCTTTTTGGTCTTGGATTTTTGGATGCTCTTGAGTCGCTTTGATAGGCTTTTGTTGTTCTGGTTCTGAAGTGATGCTTTCGCTGTCTGATGAGGAGGAGGAGGGGGAAGAAACTGTGATAGATTCAGAATGGCGAGGCTTTGTGCTGATTTCTCTCCGTCTTACCTTCTGTCCTTGCTTTTCTCTTGTTCCTCCGTTTCTTTTCTGCCTGTTTGGGAGGCATCGTGGGATATTGATTATAGGGAAGAAAGTCGACGAGACTTTTGATAGAGCATAGAACTATATTTCTCGGTGTTGTTCTCGGCGAAATTGCTGCCGAAGAAGGTTTGCCGCCTTCCTTTCGTCCTCCACACACCCACTCTTCGCTCGAACATCAACTTCGATCAGACGAAATGCTGGAAATGCATCATCAAAAGACATCAAGATGTACGGTGGATTCAAAGACTACGATCAGTGTCACCTGTTCGAACTTTTCTGCACCGGCCACAACAATGGTCATCGAGGCCGACCAAATGAGACGACGTCGTGCTCGAACGAGGACCAATTCAGGCAAAGCATAAAGCATCATCTTCAGACATTAATCGTAAGGTAGATCTATTCCGTGATGCACTCCAGATCCATCCAACGCCGCTCCAAGTGAACGGCAGCAACAAATGGGTATCGTGTCGCTATGCAAGACCGCGACAAAGGCCTGCCCACACAATGCAAAAGGCCGTATACTATCCCAACTCTTGACTTTACTCATCTCTTCTCGTCGGGGTATTATTTTTAGGTTCTATTCAAAGCCGGCCCATCTCCAACATTACTTTCGTCGAAGAGAAACCAGCTCTTGCTCATCTACTTCCATGGCAGCGGCTCGCCGCCAGCAGCGCGCTCCTTTCGCACCGCCCATCCCTTTATGGCAAAGAGGATAACTTCCCATGCAAGGGTGATACCGGTAATGCCCATGGTGCAGGTGAAGATAGTCATGGCGTCCAGGCCGTTCGACTCGATCGCCCAGACATTGTCAGCGGAGCTGTTCATGAACATGATGCCGCCACTCGTCAGACAGAATGCAGCAACGATCTCGCTAGGCGGTCTCGATGGGAAATGCGACGTCGGCGGCTTCAACCACATCGAAATGTACGTCACTCCTCTGGCTAGAGCGAACGCAGTGAAAAGACCGCCCCACTGCGCATGCATCATGGTGCTGACCATACTCTCCTGCTGGTGAGCTCCCATCATCATGCCAAGAAGCATGATCGTCAATGCCGGCATGGGATTCAGTGGAACGCGGCATGTCTTTGGCTCTTCCCAACGTTCCGACTCTTCTAGATGCGGCTCGCCCGCCAGCCCTACGTCCTTGGTCTTTTGGGCTACGACCGGAGTGTTCCACAGCTCGCGAAGCCACTTCGATTCCAGCATCATTCCTAGCAGGCCACCTCCGAAGAACAACACCGTAATGCTGAGGTGCTCGAGATCTGACGGCGTCCAGCCTTTGCCCCAGTTGTTCATGTGCTCCATGAAGACATTCGTCGCGCCGTACAGCCAGATCACAAAGGACTCCGTGAACTCCGCAGAAGGAATGGCAGCCTTCCACTTCGAGACTACTGGCCGTTGTGGGCGAATATTCCAAGCCCAGCCGAACTCTGCGAATGCGCCCATCCATCGGCCGAGAGTCAGCAAGCCATACCAAAAGAATATACCGCCTTTGATGTAGTGCGCTAGACCGGAGAAGATCTGCCTATTGCGGAATAGACCACCAGAAACAATGAAGCCAGAGGTTATTGCAAGGAAGCCCAGGAGGAGCAAGAGCTTCTCAAGGACAATCTGCGAGCCCCGAACCGCCGTCGTCGCTCTCTTCGTTGAAAGCTTGCGCACATTCTTGGCGACGAAACGATCCAATTTGTTGTTGCCAAGGAAGCCTTCTTTCTCTGGATCTTCGTCCTCCTTGTCCTCTTCGTGCTCTTCATCAAATCCACTGTCGCCACCAAAGTCTTCGGGTTGCTGGTATACGTGCTCTGAAGAGTTCTGACGCGAGCCGAAAAGCGACGCTGAGTTGCGCTCGGTACCTTGGCCGGAATCTCTCGAATCTCTTGGACAAAATTCGTCATTGTACTGCTGGGCTCCATCATAACGAGACACACTGAGCGCACTCAGTGTCCCTCCATGTTCCGAAGAAGCTCGTCTGGAGGTCTTGTGCTCGCTATAGGCGACATAGGTGGACATGAAGGTCCAGACGATGGTGAAGGTGGTGACAACCCAACCAATAGGATGATGCGAGTTGCTCTGGTATAGGTCTGGCGTGGAATGGTTATAGACGAAGCCGGTAAAGAGTCCAAGCCCGTTGATAAGGTGAAACGGGATCTGCGCAGGAAGATGATACCGAGATCGCGCTATGCTGAGGAAGATTGCTAATGGCATGAATATAAACCACGCCAGGACCATCAAACTGGTATGCGCCAGATTCCAGCCAAAGTATTCTGGATGACGGAAATAACTGGCCATCTTGTGCTCGGGCGCTTCGTCCGCAGGCGCTGGCATTGCGCCATGGCTCATAGCCATATCTTCGCCGCCATGAGCCAGCGCGGTCCGTAGGACGAATGCCACAGCTGTTAAGAGGATTGCGCTTCGCGAGTGCATGGTGTTGATCGGGATGTTCAGCAAGCCTCTCGACTGGCAACGCCCTCCTCTCCCCTTCAAACTGGGTTACGCTTCTGGTTTGCCCAGTACGCAGCGACTTCCTCTTAGCTTCTCGTCTGCTTCGGTTGCACTTGACTGGCAGCTATTCACAGCGAAGGCGTTGATGATGCTCTGCTCTGCCAAAGCTAGACTGTTCTGAATCCTGGCAACAGCTACTTAACGATGCAAGGGCAATGGAAGTTTATTAGATGCGACACCAGGCCGCCGAGAGCACCAAGAGGATGGAGAGAAGCAGTACAGTCAGACTTGCATCCGCAGGTGGGCGCGTTACTTATCGACGAACAGCAGGCAGGAAGGGAGGCACGCCCTTCCTTCCGCTCCATCTGCGCTGGTGATGACTTCACGGCGATTACTACAACCTCTTGCCGGTGCACTCCCGGCGCCAACGCCAACGCATGGTCCCGTCGTCGGCGACAATCCAACAAGCTGTGTCGGCCGGCAAACAACCAACTAAATCCGAAATTCTGAAGCTTCTGACGTTATGCGAGCTGCAAGCTCTAGCTTGCTGCATCATCACGAGCAAGGCGCGCCTGGCGATCTAGCGCACGGCTAGCTGCATGCGAAGCGGCAATTGTGGCGTGACTGACGGACGCTTATTATGCTGGTCTTTTCCGGCACATCCGCAAGCATCCACGACGTCCGCGAACGAATCAACGGGCGCGAGGCCGAGAGCGTGGAAGAAGGAAGGCATCAAAATGTTCGATCGGTATCGGCGGCCTATGAAAGCCCGCGGTCTATGCCCGGAGAGCCTCTGCTGTACCCGACTTCGCAGCATGCGTAATATGATCATGATTCTTAAGAAGAATGTGTCCAAGGAAAATAACACATGCAAAAGTGCTACTGCGACTTCGCATCATGAATCCCCGAGAACATCGCCGTCGATATGCACCATGCACATACGGAGGTACCGCGGTGAGACTCCGCGGCGAGAAGTGCCAATGTCTGGAGTGGCATATGATCAGGTCGCACTCGCGAGATGCGATCATAAACGAACGACCAAGCAAGCCGTGTCGTTGTTCCAGCTTCTGTCTGTATCGAGGATTTGACAAGCCTGACCACGCTATTCGCACGGCTACGTGTATAGGGCTGCTGCAGGCCCCGCATTTGGCTCGTACAGCTCTCCATATGTATGTGGCATGAGGCATGTGGCATGTGCTTCTGCTACTGCGCCGCTGCAACCTCTCGCATTGTTTCGCATTGACCTTCGCGGATACAGAAGACGCCAGTGCTGAGAAGTGAGAACGCCTCTGCCGCTTGCCGAATCCATATGAGATGATCGACCGCTCTTCTTCAGCATTTGTCAGCCAAACCACTTCTGTTCTGCACAACACCGAAGTCACGCTGTCAGCTCCATCATTATCACGCGAGTAGCATGCCACTTTTGACACCACAGAACACAGCTCTGCTACAGCCTGTGCGATGCATAACCCTCCTACTTTTGACGCAGCACTGTCATCCCTTCGCAGCTGTCATAAGCAAGCAGACCCGATTGATGTCGATGGCTGCTTACTGAACTACCGCAATCGGCGAGACTGCCGAATCCTACGATTCCTCCATACCACGCTCAACACGCTGCAACTTTCCCTCACCTCAATCACCTAGGTTCTGCCCAAGCATGACTGATTTTATGCAAATCCGACAACCCGAAGTGACCGCTCTTGTGACATGTGACGGAATTCTTGTCAATTGCCATACTGCACATACTCTCTCTAGGTATAACCGAATATGCAGAGTTGATGCAAAAAGCACCGGACAACTGTTCTCCCTCTCGCTTTGTCTTGCACATCGGAATTCTCGGCTTCCAAGCTACCCGACCCCGGAACCCATCCTATCCTATCAATCTCGATCTGTGACCTCGACCTGGCAAATGTTCGCTTTTTTTCTTCGACGCGACCATGCATGTGCCACATGGATAATACCAGGGCCCTTGATACGGTTCTAGCGGCTTCACATAGCCGGTCGTTCGGCACTCCTTACGGACGAATTTTTGATGGCCACGGACTAGTTTTGTTCTTTAATGTTCATCAGCCAACTGCTGCCCGGACGCCGACGGATAAGCATACTCACTCCAAGTGCATGGATGGACATTGAAATGAACGCACGTCCACGAGAATGGCCAAGATAGCCCAAGGCTGTGGCGCCTCAAGTGCAAAGTCATAATCTCCCGGGAACAGCCTTTCAATCGACCCATTCGTTTGGACATAAACGTCCGATACCACAATGCGGCTGCCTCAGAAGGATTTGTATTTTAATGCCACCATTGCGAATACGAATGCGTTTGGACAAGACATCATCAGGACTGCTATTGCGTGGCAATGTCGCACAGCCAATGATCCCAAGACCTTAGGCTCGTCAGCACTCCTGGCTTGGTGTTGCTCACATCTCATTTTTCGACTGCTCTTCCACGTCATCCAGAAGACGTTAACGAGTCGTCAAAGGACATCACTAAAGCTGGTCATCCACAACCAGTAGCTGCCAACGTTCAATACCAAAGAAAGCAGCCATAACCCATCTCCCAGCTTCAAGGCCCACATAGGCTAGTAATGGCACAGATTCTCAGAGCATAGTCCCTACCTATAACGAACTTGCAGGAATCCAAGGCCGTAGAAACAAAGCAAGAACTACGCTGACTTCGATGGCAGTGCTGTTGAGGAGGTCGCTCCGACCGTCAATGGACACGCCCTTATCCTGCGTGTCGCCAGTCTCGGAGAGTATCAAAACAGGTCATATCTGCCCGCATCCTAAGGTATCACATCCATACTTCCGCGCCCCACGAGAACGCTAAATGCAAAGTCATCAAAGAGACTGGATTCGAATAAACAAGACTTCACGTCACGTCAAGAGAGTCCCGTCCTAAGTCGTCACTCTCTACGATTTTCTCAATGCCCGGAAATCTCAAGGCTGCAGTCTATCCGAAGACCACTAGATTTTCTACTTGGCTGGCACACCCTTTCTGGCCTGTCGGTGAACGGCCTGTTATGACCGATATGATTCTGTCCGATACGGCAATGGTATGCCTTCTGAATCGACGACTAACGATGGCTGTGTTATGTCTGTGTCGAAATTTGGAGAGCGGGATCACGGGAATCACGATCGGGCAAAAATATTGACGCTTCGTGTTCATGCTGGGATCTCTTCATCCAGACGTGAGTTCTGAGAATTCTCCATTTTGTCCTGGACGGGAAGCTCGTCTTACTTATCTCGAAAGAAAGTTCCAATGGATCTCCAGTCCGGCAGGACTAGGAATTCGAACGTCGACGGTCAAGCTTGGTCGCGAGCAATCTCCATGCTTCATACATACACACACATACCACATACCACAGCCCATCCCATCCCATCCCATCTCATCTCTCCTCTACGCACCCGCAAACCTCAACGGTTCCAAATCCCCACCCATCCTCCTCCTCATCCCCAAAACCCTCCCCTTAGCCTCCCTCCTCCGAACCGCCAACCCCAAAATCACCGCCCCAAGAACCCCCATCCCAACATTCGCCAAACCACTATACCACCCGGAACTCTGCACATTACAATACCTCTGGAAGTTGACACTCGTCAACACATCCTGGAGTTCCTTCGCCGTGCTAGAACACGTCCAACCCCATAAATCCCGGAATTTGCCATTTACAGGTTCTTTTCCGTACCGGTAGATTGCGACCGAGGCGATCCAGATGCTGATGTGGGAGATGGTGATGGCCCAGGTCCAGATTGTTGAGGCTGTTGAGACGCGGTTGGCGGCGCGGATGGAGCGGATGTACGCAAGGAGGATGAGGGTGTTGAGGAGGAGGGAGATGGCTGAGATGCTGAAGTACATGTATGTGTACCAGGTTATTGTGTTGTGGGCCCAGGCTGTGCGTTTGACGCTGTTTGAAAGAAGGTTAGGAGGAGATGGGAAAAGAGGGGAGTGGACGTAGGTACCGTACCCATCGACTTCGAAATATATGTCTTTCGTGAGCAGGAATTTTATGATTGTTGCTAGGAGGAAACCGAAGGTGATGGCGCTGAGAATTGTTGCGGAGATTCGACTGATGAGTTTGAGGATTCTGATGCGCTGTTTGAGGTTGTTGTCGTAGGTTTCTAGGTGGTGGAGTTCTGAGGTGTCTAAATGACTTTGGTTTGGGTTGTTGTCGTGAGGGACGGGATTATAGTAGCTTGCATTGCTCCCTGTTCTGGAGTGGATTGATGCTGTGTCGACAAGGTGCATTGGCTTGAGGTACAGGTCGTTCGGACGTTCGTAGAAGCGGCCTGCCATGGTTTTGGCTATTATCACTGCTTCTGCTGTCTCCGTTTCAGCTCGGGCCAAGGCGCCTACAGTTAAGGTATAGGTGCAATCACACCTCTTCAGTGGTACCCAATTCCCCGAAGAATGGTCAAGTCGTGGTGATGAAGTCGCGATGCTGTGATGTGAGGCAGCAGCAGCAGCCTTCATTAGTATGTGTCGAGGTCGCTCCAATTCAAGATCGGACCAGGCGCAGATCCACAGTACTCAGCTGAGTGGAAGAATGTGCAAGCTGCATTTCGCAACGCCACAACCGCACCTGGCATCAATTTAGTAATTTACAGCGTCTGATCACATCGGAGTGAAAGTGGGTATTCCCCAAACCCTTGCTCCTCATGGATTATAGCGAACAGAAACTTGTTATTCAGCGGTCCGACCCTAGTCACTTTCACTCCGATGTGGTAAGACGCTGTATACATGTTCATAGCTCTACTGTAACGAGTAGATTCCCAAAATGGCAGCGTAGTCCGGTATTTGGTGCTTCTTCGTCTTGCTGATTTGATGTCTCCCGCCATCTACTTACGAAGGCATTTGGCACTCATGTCGGATGGCTATTCCAGATACCGAATTTGGACAGCTGAACTCCCCAAACAGTGCTGAGGACTAGCGCAAGCACTTCAGATGGGTCTGAAACACTAGTGACACCTGCAAACCATTCGTGAACCTGCTATTCTGGCACGGTCGTTGACGACTCTTGAATTATGAGTAGGGCCTGCGTTGGACGGGTAAGGTTCCTGCCCCAAAGATCTCGAACAGGCACGCGACTCTATCATTCTTTCCTAGCAGCACTTGTATGCTAGTGCTCAAGGCCAGTGTAGCAGACATGTTTTGACGCAGCCTGCTTTGGACGATTTTGCATTGCCTCAACAACCTCATCTCGCTCCACGGCCTCTAGCAACACCTCTTGCAATACCACTACCCCGTGTTCCAGCGGCGCCTCTCGAGCTCGAACCTCTGGCAATACCACTGCCTCTCCCTCTGCTCGCGGTTCCTCTTCCTGCGGTGCCTGAAGCACCTCCTCTGGCGGGGGCTCCGGCCGTTCTCGTGCTCTTTGCAGTGCTTGGTGGCACTGAATTGAACTTGCTGCTTGCCTTGGAGCTCATAGGCGGGTTCTCCACAAAGCCACTGGTATCTGATGTCAAGAAAGTAGCTTCGATATTGCCGTCCTGGTTGGCTCGCGGTGTTCGTTGGTCGTGGAAATGCGAGTGGTCCAATGGGCTATTGCCGTCTTTATGCCGTTGATAGGATTGCGATATGGGTGCCTCTGGGAAGTCGACACAAAATGCCGTCATGTTCATGCCATACAGGAAGGCACCAAAATTCTCGTTGAATCGTGAAATGCTTTCGTTCAGCAGTTGCAGATGCATCATGTTGGCCTCCAGATCGGCCATTGCATCGCTCAGCTCGCCGAATGCAGGCTCCAACGTGGCCAGCGGGAAGTCATTGCCGGTGAGGGTAGTAGCAGCGGTAGGAGTGGTTTGCGATGCTCTCAGGCTCGTTCGAGACGGTGGTCGGAGAGGAGTGGTTGGGCGCGAGGGAAGTGCGCGGTCTGCGCCGGATCGTGTACGCGAGTGAGAGTCACTTCGTGGGCGAGGCTCGAAGTGGACGGGAGTGGTCATCGATGCCATTGTGGATTGTAGCGGCATCCGAATGCGTGGAGACGCGTTTCGTGTCGCTGGCATGGGAGGGAGGGGGCGGAAAGACTAATGTGCGCCTCGGCCTTGGATCTCATGACGCTGCCATGTGCACCACGCAGCCACGCAGCAGCCATTCTCCATTCGCAGGTAAACAGGAAGTCGGCTGGATGACTTGGCGATGAATGGTAAGAAGCACATCCTTCCCTTACGTCGTGCCGTCAGCGCTACGCCCTTCGCTTCCACCGCTTCCTATGTCCGTCTCCTTCTTCCGCCGCCTTCCTCGCTGCAGCACCCGTATCACTACCTCCACACCTCCACCACCCCTGCGGCGTCAATTTGCACCTTCGAACTTCACCCACACCAGCCTGCGCATACCAGAGCTCCACACCAAGAACTATTCGTCACGGTACCTGCCCACACATCCTCCCTCGGCTCCCTCTGCTTTCCATCCCACTCGCCCGGCCCTCCAACCTAATATCAGAGAAGCTGGTGTCAATTGGACTGCCCTGTTCCTTGTTGGCGCACTGTCCGCGGGTCTTGCACTATTCGGCCGCTCGTACCTGAATCAACCAGGAAGTGAAAATCGTTTAGATAAGGGAGAACGACACGAAACATACACCGCGCCGAGTGCGCCTCACAACGACGCTGACCTCGCGCGGGTCGAATACATCCTATACGAAAATCTTGCCTCCTTCGACTTAGAAGCTATGGCGCCCTATGGAGATGCGCCGGGGAGACCTGGGAATTTGACGCCAGCAGAGGAGCAAAAACTGAAGGAAATGTGGATCGCAATGTCGAAGATCAGTGGCATGATGCCGGAGGCTTCATTTATGAATGGGAACAATGACGCCGCTTCTACGACCTCGGAGACGCCCAAGAAGAAGAGCCGATTTGGATTCGGGCGGAGCAAGCAGAACGAGGAAGTAACCAATGGAGGCGACAATGACAAGCACGGGCAGACGAATCAGTATGAAAAGGCTCTTCAGTCGTTGACTCCGGAACAACTCAGAGAAGCCCTGTGGTCAATGTCAAAACACGATGATCCTGATGCACTACTCCTCCGCTTCCTTCGCGCACGCAAGTGGGACGTTCAAGCTGCGCTCGTCATGCTTGTCGCGACCATGCATTGGCGAAGTCAGGAAGTCCACCTCGACGACGACATTATGCCCAGAGGCGAGCGTGGAGCATTGGAGTGGAGTAAGAGCTCAGATGCCGCGGAGCGAAGAGAAGGCGAAGACTTTCTCGCACAACTGAGAATGGGGAAGTCGTTCATTCATGGATGCGATAACGACGGAAGACCTTGCTGTTTCGTGCGGGTGAGATTACACCATGGTGGCGACCAGACCGAGAAAAGCTTGGAAAGATTCACGGTCTGGACCATTGAGACTGCTCGCATGATGTTGCACCCGCCCGTCGACACAGCTGTAAGTGAGCCTAACTTCTTCCTGTCCTTCTCCTTCTAATCCGTGCTAGACTATTGTCTTCGATATGACCGACTTTGCTCTCTCGAACATGGATTACGCCCCTGTAAAGTTCATCATCAAATGCTTCGAAGCCAACTATCCCGAATCTTTGGGAGCAATCTTGATCTACAAAGCGCCATGGATCTTCAACCAAATCTGGAGAATCATCCGAGGCTGGCTGGATCCCGTCGTAGCATCAAAAGTGCATTTCGTCGCAAATATCGACGAACTTGACAGCTATATCCCGAGAGACCGGGCACCGAAAGAGTTAGGAGGGGACGAAGACTGGGAATGGAAATGGCCAGAACCTGTACCCGGCGAAGACGATCAGATGAAAGATACGGCTGGGAAAGAGAAAGTCATGGCGGAACGAAACGAGCTGATCAAAAGTTATGAGGAGGAGACGATGGCGTGGTGCGAGGGTAAGGATAAGGGGGAAGGACGACCGAGCATTGCGCAAAAACTGGCCGAGAACTATTGGAAGCTGGACCCATATGTGCGAGCGAAGACGCCGTATGATCGGACAGGTGTCATGCTGCCTGGCGGGAAGGTAGACTTCTATCCCAAGAGCAGTAGTCCCGCTGCGCCTGCGCCTGCGCCTGCCACAGATGGGACCACGGAAGATGACGTGGATTAATGTACTTGACCTTGACAGACTAGATGCTAGATGAGGCACCCGACGTCAATGGTATTTCCACGCTTTTTCATTCTGCCAGAACAACTACCTCTTCAATTCCTGAATTTTTGAAGCTTGAGACTTTGGTCTGGTAAGAAGTAAGAACATTCTCACGATGCCTTTTCCCCGCTTCGGCTGAATCGAATCGAATGCAGGTCTTCAAGCACTTTCACACCATGATGGAGGGGAAAAAAATATGCTATGCTTCCGCCGCGCTGGTAATAGGTCAGCATCTGTCTGTATCCGTTCTTATGTGAATTGACCCCCCTAGATGAGCAAAGGAATTTCGCTTCCACCACGCTAGTAATAGGTCAGCATCTGTCTGTATCCTTGATATATAGATTGACCCCCTTTGATCACGAGGGCACAACAGAGATTTCGATCCTGAATCTTCAGTCTCACCATTCTGTAGCCCACTCCTACATGTCTCGATAGGCTGTTATTCGAACTCCGCCTGGTGCTACCATGCCACGGACCCGACCAGAATTCCCTTCTATAGGTATATTCTATTCTATCATAGTCTGGGTATACTCTAACCCGGATCCACATCGAGAGGACAGCGAGGTGTTTCTCGACGAGGACCTTTTGCATCCTTCTTATTAGTCTAACGACAATAGAAAAGGCGTCTGATTACGAACGTTTGAATCCCAATCTCAACCCGGTTCGGTTTGTTCTAAGGTTCGCAGGCGTCTTGTGTTTCTCGAGCTGCATGGCGCGACCTATGGAATAGCACAATAGTTGTTAGTGATGACGCTGCCAAGATGTTGTCTACTACTATCTTTTGCTGTATTGCGCTCGTAGATCGTTGTTGTAGATTGCTGGTTCTTTCTTTGTCTTCGCGTACAGAGCATATAGCCTGCTACTGATAGAAAGCAGAGGAGACCAACCGATCCCACAACAGGGCCGATGATGAGGCCGGGGGTAGTTCCTGACTCGGGATGTCCGCCTGCCTTTGCCGTTGTGGCCGATGTAGGGGTTGAGACGCTTTGCGATGTCGATTTGTCCGTAAAGGAGGTGATGGCCGCTGATGCTTGCTCGAAGGTGACGCTGCTTGATGTGATGGAGTTTGAAGCAGGGAAAGCAGCACTGGTCTTTACCGAGGTATTCTGGGTGGTAGCAGGTGCGCCAGTGATTGTGGTCGTACTCTCTGGCAAGACAGATGAGCTGACGAGACCTGCTTTCGCATCCTGTGGGAGGTTGCAAGTCTCGCCATCGATACTCAATGACCAGTGTAGACTGTGACTGTATCGTCTATTCGGAAGTCAATGTCAGCTACTGTGCTGCCAAGGTAAGCGTGCCCACCTCGCGCTAGTTACGCGAGGTTCGTAGACCCTGCTAGTTTGTTAGCAACCGCGAATCTATAGTAGTTTCTCGTACCTAACTCGCTCGTAGTTACGCTTAGGGTTAAGAAGGAGGCATTTCTCGAGCCTACCGTCGATTAAGCGACTAAACTATATCTCTCTACTATAAACCCGACGCGTCTTATAAAGCTAAAGAGGCCGCCGAGAGCGCTACTATTATAGTAGAAGCTTAGTCTACTACTACTTAGAAGAAGCGTAAACGTACTACTAAAGTAGATGCCTCGAAGAAGCGATAGAATAGTACTAATTAGTAATCGTAACTAGACGATTAATTACTAGAAGCTAGCGGTTATTCGGAGGGTTAAGACGCGCCTATAGACGACGGAGTAGAAGTAATAGACGAAGCCGCGCCTACTAGAGCGGACGATAAAAAGAGGGTTAATAAAGAGAATAAGGACGTAGAAGTATAGTAAGAAGCCGAGATTAAGTATAACTTCTATACGCTAGTATATATATCCTATAGTAAAGAACGCCTACGTAGAGATTATTAACTACGCGTATAGCGAGTAACTAGCTTCGAGACCTAGCGCAACTTCTTCGAGGTATATAATAAGTAGTATAAAGAATAGGAAGACAAATACGACTATCGAGAGATTATTGTTAAGTACTCGTACTATAGTCTTCGATAGCGAGATATCTTCTTAACAAGTGTCGGCGGTAATAAGCGAGAACAAGACTCGGTATAGCTTACTATCCTTAATTAACTCGACGACTAGTATAACGCTAATAAGCAAGGCCTTATTATAACTATAGATATACTAGTAGTTAATCTAACGCCGCTATAGATGCCTATATAACTACGAGCAAGGCAATAGTAGCGACTAATACCCGGTAGCTCTTAAAGGGTAACTGCGACTTAGCGGTAGTTAGATAAAGTACGTCGGTAGCGGCGTCTCGAGTTAGAAGAAGAGGCTAGCAATCTACGGTAAACGCCTTTAGCCGAAGAGCTTCGTAAGGAAGATAATAGCAACTATCGAGAGATAATAAAGCGTATATAGGTATATAAGAAGACAACCTATAACTAGCATAGTTAGTACTACTATTATAACGGCTCTAACCTAGATACTACTTACAGTAACTTACTACTTAATCTTTAAAGAGGTTGCTATAGCGTAGGCGGCTAGAATAGCGAGAGGCGAGCTTACTATTATAGATCTAGGCTCTATACTTATTAATAAGATATAGCGCTATAAGTAGCGCTATATAAGTAACTCGGCTCGTAATCTATTTACTTAGAGTGCGAAGAGCGTAAAGGTCAATAATAGATATAGTAGCGGCGTAACAGTTAATAATTATATGCCTAGCTCTATAGTAGTAAAGGAATAGCTGCCCTCGAGTCTACTACGTAGCTTATAACCGGATACAGAATAGGTAGACCTAAGGGATTAAATCTACGATTTCTTTGCCTAGCTTCGTTAAAGGACATATTAGAGCTATAGATTAGAAGACCTAGAGTATATAGAGCGAGTATTTAAAGATAGGGAGCTTAGGTTATAGAGATATATCGGTATAACTATGAAAAGGGTATGCCAGCAGGTAGATAGGGTAGTAGTAGGTACGAGTAGTATTCGATAGAGAACTAGGAGGAGAAGGAGGAAGGCAGGCTAGTTAGCCTACTACTAAGCGCTAAGCCCTGCCTAAGGCATCGAGACCCTAACTTTACTCGAGCCCGGTTATATACTAATTACGTGTAACCTCTTTAGTCCTAATACACGCTTCCCTTCTAAAGGCCGCGCCCTCGTAGCCGGTCTTTGTTCTAGTCTTAACCTCTATTGCTACTAACTTAGCAGGTCTAATAAGCCGCTTAGTCCGCGCTAAATTAAACACTTAACTACCTAATTATATAACTATATCAAACCTTACCTCTAGTGCAATGTGGTGTCTAACTCTAACTGCGCTATCCTTGTATATAATAAAGTAATATATAACTACGAGAATTGAGGACCTTCGACTAATTACAATACGAGCGTGTCTTCCCTACTATAATAGGTAGACGTACGAGGTATTATAGCCCTACCTCTGTTCTAAGTGATATTGTACCGAGTTCTTTGCGTCTACTCTTAAAAGACCTAGCAATGTCCGCTTCCGAGGGTTTGTCCGCTTCCGAGGGTTATTATTCTTGTTATTACGAGGACTATTCTTTACTTTTAAAAAACACAGCTTGTCTAGTTTCTATAGGTAAGGGCTATTATAAGTACAGTAGTAGAGGTTCGCCTCGCTTAAAGGGTTAGACAGATCGAGGAGTAACCTATTGTCCGCAAGATCGACCCTAGCTAGTAGCTTAGCTCTATAGTTTTTGCCTTTAGTTAGTCTATTAGTTGCTTAATCTTTTTAGGCGGCTTAAAGTTTTAATTAAAGTTTTGATCAAACCTTTAATATAGCTATTCTTTTAACTTAGCCGGTAGGGTGCGCTCTAGCTCGTAGCGTAGGTAAGGTTATATCTATAGGCGTAGCGACAATAGTAAGTAATGTTAATAATAGCGGCGCTAGTCGTCTTAGCGCTAACTTTACCTTCTTCCAATTTCCTTCTTTAACTAATAGTAACTTAGTAACACTGTTACTAATATAGCTATATCCTTCCTTTCTTAAATAGTAACACACTCCGTAATACTATTACTAATATAGCCGCGCCGGCCGCGCCGCCCTTTAGTATAAGCGTAACGCCGTCGTTACTATTATTATTACTAACACTATTCGCCTACGCGCGCGCGCCGCCTCTATCGACCGCCTAGGCCTTAGGCCTCGATAGAATAAAGGAATAAAAGGGGGACCTATAGGGTGCGTTAGTAAAGAGGTAGAGTCCTTAAAAGAGTAGGCGATTAGTTAACGCATTATAGCGCGTTTGTTAATACTCGGTACGCGTTTACTATAGTAGTATAGTCTTATTATCCTAGTTTGCCGGCCTCTAATTAGTTAGCTAATAGCACCCTAGGGGTAGTATTAGTTCTAGGCCTTAGTAATATTACGAGCTTTTAGCCTTCTTCTTGTTCTTTACGCTAGTCTAATACTTATCTAATAACTTAGTTATATCTTTAAAAGAGGCTTTAGCTTCCTATAAGTCCTATTTAGGTAAATAGCCTTGCTATCTTAATAGGTACTCCTTCTTGCCCTGCTTAGTCCGATGCTTTAGGATACGTTCTACGGACTATAGCTCTTTACTATTAGCTAAGACTTCTTCTAACTTAGTAGGCGCTTCATCGCCTTCGCGCTAGTAGTATAGTTTAAGGAGGGAGATATAGAAGGTATTATAGATAGTATAATAGGGTAGAAGCTATAACTAGTAGGCCTAGCTATTGCCCTTCGGTTCTCGGATTCGGAAGGGGCTAATAAACCGTAGTGCTAGTTTGGGGCGTGTTTTGCTATTAGGTAATAGGTGTTTGCGGATACGGAGGTTCTTAGTGCTTAGTATAACTATATCGCCTTATTTAAAGGTTATTAGCGTATAGTACTTGTCGTAGTAGGTCTTTTAGTACTCTTAAGCCTTTGTTAACTTCTCGGCTATCTTAGTATAGATTTCTCGTATCTTCTAAACCCTCTTAATAGCCGCTAGTGTTTCGGGTACTTAACGCGCTTCCCTTTCCTTACGCTCGGCCTCGAGCGATAGGGGGTCTTATAGCATAGCAGCGTTCTAACCTATTATAGCTATATATAGTAAAACCTTGGTTAATAAGTAGATA